TTGAAAAAGGTGGTGCCACTGTTTTTATTCCTACTGGTGGTTATGTCAAACCAAAAAAAGGCAGTGCTGCATTTTGGTATAATCTTTTCGCATCTGGCGAAGGTATAATGACTAATTTTTCTCTCTTTTTTGTTATTAATTTATATTCCTTATTTAGGTGATTATACAACAAGACATGCTGGTATGTATTTTACTTGATTCTTTTCTGTTTCTACTTTCTTTTTTTCAAGCTTGTCCTGTATTGATTGGTAATAAATGGGTTGGTAATAAATGGATACATGAACGTGGTCAAGAATTTCATCGTCGATGTTCACTTGATCCAATGGCTTAAATATAGAAAATATATTATCTTATTATAGAAAATTGTTTCAATTAATATAATTTTCTTTTTATCTATCAAATCAGCAGACCTTTTTTTTTTTGACAGAAGGATTTTTAAAATTCATTGTTGTGTATTCAAAGAGAAAAAATATCGATAATATGAGCACAGTCCAACTGTCAAAATAAAAAGTCAGTCTTTTTTTCTTATTTATATTTGTTTTGTTTTTCTTTTATCAATGGCATTCATATTACTTTAGTTTTATTAGTATTCAGTTTTTTTTTTGACAATATATATGTGTGTGTGAGTGTTTTTAATTAAACTTTCCTCGTTAAATAAATTTAATGAAGAAATATAATCTCTGTTGGAATTTAAAATTCAATTAAAATGCTATATAGATTTGTTACTAAAGAATTTTTGAGCTTGCTTTATTTGGTAATGGAAGATAAAATAATCTTGATATTTCATGATGTCAAAAAGATTACGATTAAAAATATAACAAAGTATGGTTGAATAAATGAAATTTTGCTTGAACAATTGTAATCGATTATTCCAGCTGTTCGATTATAAATAAAAGAATCTTGTTAACGTTATCAAAAGTCTTAACAGAGCGTAACAAATTATAAATGATATAGAAATAATAAATTTAAATTAGGATACAATGTAAATGTAACGACATAATATGTTGACCTTTATTTGTCTTTATAAATATGTGCTAGAACGATAAGTTTTTTTTTTTTAGCTTTTACCAGGCAATTATTTATTACGATTTGTAAATGATTTATATTTGTCACATATTCATATAAAGAGAGTAAAGCAAGAAACAGTGACGAATATTTGTGGAAGAAATTAATGATTTTTATTTTTATTTGTCAAAATATTTCTTAGGACGATATTTAATTATAACTAAATATCATTTTATAAGATTGTTTTGAAAAGTTTACAAAAACCGATTTAAATATCGTCTTGCAAAATGCTTTTGATTGCAACCTTTGTGGACTCATTTCATGTGCACTTATCTATTTTCTCATGAGTCTATTCCGTAGAATATCTATCACGTTTACATCGACTATCTCCAAATCTCATGAAACTTTTACGGTTTATAGATCATAACGATCTAATCTTATCCATAGTATCATTTTTTTGATTTCCTATAATAAACATATATATTTGGAGGGTAATACATAGCATGATCTTATATGACAAATCGACGAAATTAATTTTTTCAAAGGAAACTAGGCTACGTATCATCCTCTAAATATATTAGTTCATTATTGGACATTAAAAACGTGATATTATGGGGAAAAAATGAGTTCATCATGATCTATAAATCCTAAAAGTTTAATTAGATTCGGAAATAGCTAACGTAAACAATGATAGACATTGCATGGAATATTCTTTATGTCATTTTGTTTATGACTATATAATTAGAATAAGTAATATACAGTTTGGAAGACAACAAAAATTCCTATTGACTGATAAAAATAGTTACCTTCAACAGTTACTTATGAAAGGACAATATAATTGACATTTTGTAGTATTACTTTTGCACTGCATGATATTTGATGTTTTCTACTTTCTGTTTCGAGCATGTATCCTTCTGTAATTCATTTTATTGACTTGTTAGTATACGGAGAATATAGATAATTTCAAGCTGTACTTTTCTTCTAAAAAAAACTTTTTCATATAGAAGAATATTGTAGAAAATCTATAGATCTGTTGTAACCACAAAGATGCATGAATGAGATTTGTTTCGGATATTTAGATATGAATACAAATAAAATTATGCCGTTGAGACTTATTATAAAGGAACAAGACAATGATTGGAAAGTATTAGACAGGAAACAGTCAAATAAAATATGCAAACAAATACAAAAGCATGATTAGCAAACAAAGATCTAAGTACAAATAAGATTCAGAAACGTAAGTACAACAGCTAACAGAAAATTTATTGAACATATAAATGTTAATGATAAAGAAAATAAACACTTTGGTCTATCATTCAATAAAGAAACTTGAAGCTGAGAAAAGATATCAGAAATCAAAACTTAGTATTTTATATTTATAATGTAGAACAAAATGTTTTGTTATTGCTAGTACGAATAGTTCATATATATTATTCTTTGCTAGATTTATTCATTTATTATAGCTAGGAAAAAATATCAGTTGCAATAATATTGATGTTAAGCAATGGCAAATAGGAACAATTACTTTATTAATTCTTGTCAATAATGTACCTATCATATTAATGTTGACAATAACAGTTGATTCAATTAGAGAAAGAAACATTCTTATAATAAGTTATTTAATAGAAATGTCTGTTAGTAGTACTAGCATTTTATTACCTACAGATGATGAAATAAGACTATTTATTGCTATACAATGAGCTTGCGTAGCTAAAGTTGTTAATAACAAAGTTAAATTATCGTAAGTTGAATCAAAATGAACTGTAGCAAGCCTTTTCTTTTTCCTTAGATCATTAATTGATTGGTACCGTTCTCGTGATTATGTTGTCACAACAATTCTGATGTGCTCACATCTGGTTATATTAGGCCATTAATGATAAAAATCTTTCAATTATCTAGTATGAATCCACATGGGACTATTATAATAGCTTCGGATCTTCTAACGTTCGATTAAATCTTTATAATATTTATCTTATATCAAAAGAAATTAAAATATATATTTTTGAAAATAAAAATCTGGATTACTTTAATTTAAATTTTGATTCTTCCTGATAATCATCCTATCTTATTATTACAAAATTAAGTCATCTGTTAATGATTGATTCAATAGCTGAAAGTTTTATTATTTTAACAACAATTACTTATTAGTTTCATATGTCTTTTTCGATCAAATACAGATAAATTAGGTTTAATAATGTCAACTACTACTCTATCAAATATATCATCTGTTTTAGTAACAAGTTTAATGAAAGAAAAATTTGGTGCCATTAATACAATAGCTATTACACATATAAACTTTTCTCTACGAGAAAATTGTTTTTTTTTTATTATCAGTTCTATTTCTGCTAGAAAGGTATATGCTTATAATAGTACTTTTAGTTCGTTTTTCGATTAATCAAATAGATGTACCAATTAAACCAATATTTTTTAAATAATAATTATTGAAAATAATAAATGATCAGCAACTAATAGTATTACCAATATTCATCAATTTGTTGATTATTATATTTCATCAATTATAATAGCTTATTTCTTAAAAGATTTAAATAATCAAATGCCCTGTTCTTTCTTCATTACCATTTATTATTTTTGACGAGCTGAACTTTATATTTGATACACTACGGCATCTAACTTTTCATTCTCAATAAAAGCAAAGCAAAACGTAATAGCAAGGTTATTATAAATGAAACAAAGCAATAAAATAAAAAAAGTAATAAAAAAAATCGTTACATCCATTTTGGATCAAAGACTAGAGGAAAAAAGCGACTATTCAAAGGTTCACCACGAGCAATTTTTGGTATTCCATGCAAGAGTGGTTCGTCAGTATTACTTCGTGTACCTTCAACAAAATAGTTGAGAACAGCTGCACGACGTGGAGAAGATGTTCGATTAGGATATGAACCATGAACAGTAAGTGGATGATGAAATGATGCATGACCTCGTTTAAGTAAACTTGGTAATGGTTGAAATTTTTTCATTTCTTCTTCTGTTAAAATATTTTTGATACTTTCCATATCTGAAAAATCCATATCAGTTATTGGTAATGGAACTTCTTTACCATCTTGAGTTCGATGCCAAAGATGAGAGCCTGGAACATAATGTATTGTTCCATTTTCTTCTGTTTGATCATCTAATGCAATGTGCACAGTAATATGTTGCATTGGTTCAGTGCGTGTCCAATATGAATAATCTTGATGCCAAGCAACTTGTCCACCATGATGTGGTGGTTTAGCAAAAAGTTGATCATGCCAAAATTGAACTGGAACTAGTACTTGTTTTGATGGATGAAAAGCAGCAAGTAATTGTGATGTAGGTACTGTCGCTGTTGGGATAAAAATTAAATCATGAAATAAAGGTGATATTCTCCAATGACCTAACATATGTGTAACAACATTATTTGGATCATTACTTTGATTTGAATGATATTCATATAAAAGACTTTTTTCTGGAAAATCTAAACGATGTGAATCATTTTTTCCATCTGAATTTTCATGATTATGATTCCATAAAAGAAATTTTTTGTATTCATCTAAAAGACGATTACATTGTTCATCAGTTAGTACGCGTACTTGTGTTAAATATCCATTTGCTTTATAAAATGCTACTTGATCTTCTGATAACAAACAACGAGCATAATCATCTGGGTTCACTGGTAAATGTCCAAATAAATCGCCGATTGGTTTTGATGAAAACGATAAATCTAAGATATCTGTCGATTGCACCGGTATATTCGTTGTCATAATTTGAAGCAGCTGACTAGATAAAACAAAAAAAAACAGAGAACTATTAGTATATATATATCTTATCATTCTGTTGTAATGCTGATAAAAAATTTAATTTAAAACAACAAAAACGGTATTACATAAATTGTTGCACAGAGTTCACTGCAATGTTATATAAATGAACGAATAAACAGAAAAAAAATGAATAGTTTTATGAACAAATCACAGTAAATTTCAGTTAAATAATCTGTTTTATATGGATGCTTTTTGTTTTTAAAGTTTTATTTGTTTATTGCCAGAATTTAATAAACGATCAACATTACTTAAAACGGTTTTTCTTAAACCTCGTCCAGTTTGTATTGTACCTGATGGATTTCTTGATGATGTCATATCAAGTTCATTTTCATCTGAACTATCAATATAATGAGTATCACCATAGTTTTGTATATCATCATATTGATGTTGTTGATTTTGATTATTATTATCATCATCATTATTTTCAATATCATTTGCATCATGTGCTATTAAACCACATTTATCAGTTAAATCATCATTTGATGATGATGTATTAATTCCTATGGTATTTAAAACAGTTTCAGCTGTTTTTATTGGAAAACTCTTTTGGCTACTTGTTGTTGATGAATTACCACTCATATTTGTTGAACAAAAATGATAATGACGAATGGAATCCCCACTACGACGTGAACTATTATTATTGTTATTATTATTATTCAGATTCAATCTACGAGTATTCACTGGGGAGTCTGGTTCTTCTGTTAAACTTCGATATGATGAACTATATTGTTTACGAGAAATTTTGTCCGAACCATTATTGATTGATGTTGAATGTTGTTGTTGTTGGGATGATATTGTTACTGGTGATACTGTTGTATAAGTTGTTGCATTAGTAAAGGATCCATTTTCACATGAATTTTGAGATAAAGAATAGGATGCAATACTTAAATTTGATAATGATGTACTATCTTCAGACATATTAAATAAATTTGTTAATGAATCAGATCTTTGTTTAGGAATAATTGATAAAGAGTAAACACTTCCTATTTCACTTAAATCACTTGTGGATCCGGTAAATGATACTATGAAAGAGAAGAACAGTAGGAAATTATTAGTTCTTTTATATTTAAAACAACAAAAAGCAATTCTAGTTACTTGATTGACGGGATGATGATGGAGTAGTGTATTCTTCCATTTCGAGATAAGTTGGTGAATGTGGAGGAAGAATACGACGTTGAAACTTCATCTTACTTTCCCTTTTTTCTTTATCTATTGTGCCCGCAATTGTCGTTTCTTTTTTTATCTTTTTTCTTTGTGATGTACTTTTTGTTAATTGCGCGTATTTGTTCACTTCACCTTCACTATACGAGGACGTTAAAGATTCAAGCGTTTATTCGTTCGTTTCCTTCTTTTCTTTTTTCTTGTTCTACTGAAATTTAATAATATTCGTCCGATGATGGGTGTACTTGCTGTTTTGGTTGTTGTTATTTTTTAGTTCGTTGTCATCGTGGTTAATGCAAATATAGAGAAAGAGAGAGAGAATCAGAGACGTAACGATGACTAAACATACAGAGTGAGAAGGAGAGAAGTCAAATATTTTCTCCTGACTCGACCGAGACGATAACAGTGCAATATGAGAAAGGCTGTGTTTGGCAGACGGAAAAGACGATGCGAGAATGAATTGCATACGCTAACCCTTTTGCGCTGTCGACCTCGTTCTTTTGACAAGGAGAAAAAAATCTACATACTTATATGCGTCACTCGTTTTCTCTTCTTTCCTTTGAAGCATTGAAAAATACTGTTTGAGCGTACGTCCGCTTGCAATTTATTATGATTTTCTCTCGCGTATCTTTCTCTTGTTCTGTATTCTTTCTTATATGAATACACACACAAAAGAATAATGGAGAATATAAATGAGCGAAAAAAAAAAGAGAAGACTGGATTATTAATCAGTCAAACAGGAAAATGATACAAATGCACATACATAAATACAACATGCAAAATGAACGCAAAATACTACAGAGGCAACATTTTTCTCTGTTGCTTTTTTTTGCAGCAGGAATGGTAAAATTTAATGCATCATTGAAACGAACAATAAAATTAAAAATAGAAATTGGTATATATTCAGTACAGATCGTTTTGAATTACGGCTGTTTTTCGACAAGTTCGGCGAATTCTAGAAGAAAAAGAAAAACAACATTATTCATCAAAAATAATTTCATCATTCGAACTCTCTCGAAACAAAAAATGACGACGATTCATTAATGTTTAATATCATACCTTCAATAGATATTTTTCCATTGCCATCTCGATCGACTTGAGCAATCATGCGACGAATCTAAACATAATACATTATTTATTCACACATTTTCTATAGAAAGAAAATTATTCACTTCTTCATTTGAATAATGTCTTCCAAGTTTAGCCAAAATAGTTTTTAGCTCATGAGCTTCAATATAACCATCACGATTATGATCAAAACGTCGAAATGCTTCAAGAATTTCTGAGCGTGAAAATTTTTTGAAATAAGAATCAGCTACAACTTCAACAAACTCTTCGAACTCAATTCGACCTTCAATAAAAATATACAATAAAATAAAAAAAGAAGATAAATAAATAAATGATAAATGAACATTTTTTATCGTTGTGCTACACACCATTTTCTAAAATAAGAATACAAAAGCGAAAATAGAGTTAGTGATTAAATAATTTTCATTGAGATTTTTACTATCTATATCAATTGCTGAAAACATTTGTCGTGCTTCATGATCAGTGACATGAACACCCAACGCAGATAGTGCTTGTTTCAATTCAGGTAATGATATAGCACCACTATTATCTGTATCAAATAAATCGAATGCTTGTCGAAGTTCTATATAATAAAATTGAACATAGCATTTGTTTTGTTTTTCTTTTTGTTTATCAACTGTAAAATGTACATACCTTTAATTTGATTGGAAGTTAACTTTTTTATTTTCTTATTCTAATAAATAATTGCAGAATTATATAATTCAAAAATTGGTATGTATGTATATACTTACATGAGACATGATTAGTGAAACTAGTGTAAATAATCTGGAAAAAGAGAACTTACAAAATAATATTATCTTTGTCTTTTATGTAAATGCACATTTTGTATAACTATAATATTTACTCACAACATGAAGAATACGAAAATGTGAGAGTCCTCTGTCGCTTTTCGTTTGTTTTTTTCTTACTCTTTTGCAAATATGCATGATTAAGACAAAAAGAACATTGAAAGAGATTAGGGATGTACATACTGAGTTTTCTTATTAGAAGAAATAAACGGACGGGAATGTTATGACCTGCATTGTCTACAGATTAGGCTATTAGAGCTTCTTCGATATCTGTATGACTATACCAACATATATAAGTTCGTCTCTTCTCTTATTAGTCATGCATCGTAGGTTTGCCTTTCCTAACACATGTGCATATACTTGCTTTACAGGCTTTGTTTTCTTCTTAGTAATCTATAGGATATTATTCACCGTTTGAATTTCATCTCCTTTTATCCCTATACATATTCATTACATTGTTGCAAAAATTGATTGAGAAATAGAGATATATATAGAAATAAAGTACAAGGGAGATTAATATCTCATAGGAAACTATGCGTGCTTGTTGCTTGATACAAGCTAGTAAGCTACTATACTATTTTTCTTTTCTTCGTATATTTCCTTAGGTTGTGTGCTGAAGCCTCCAGCGTCAATATCATGGGTACATATATGTATAATTCACTTATTACTCAATCCTAAAAATCTAACAAATTTTCTGATATTTTTCCTCTGATTGTCGTTACATTCGTGCTTTATAAATAGTTCTATTCGTAATTTTACTATAGAAGGATGTCTGCTATTTACATTTGATAATTATCAAAATAAATACAAATAGGTCAACATACTCTTATTAAACAAAATCCTCTTTATGCTTGTCCTAGTTCTTCTTAACGTAGAAAAGATCAGTAGTATAATCCTTTTCTATACCTGTTCTGTATTCACTCATCTATGGAGTACTCAAGAAAACTGCTATTTGTAATGACGAATAACAAATGAAATAACTAACTCTTTCTTCTCTTCATTGAAATAGGCTGACATTTTTGTGGATATTCCTATGAGACAAAGACTTGCGTGATATACAGAAACAATAGAATGGAGAAAAAGAGCCGATACAGACAACTTGATTAAAGACTTGAATTTTCATGTTGTCAATATACAAACCTAATTCAATGGTTGATTGAAAAAATTTTTTAATGAAATAATAAATGACCATTTGATTAAAGTTATATTTTCATATAGTAATAAATTTCTGAACCTACACAGAAATAGAAGATAATAATCAATCAATTTTATTCTTTTTAATTAATCTCTTTTTTCAGTGATTATTCATTGACTCAATTTCATTTGAGATAAATAAATTGTCAACTATATTAAACACATTTTCTTTTATCAGATATACTTCATAGAAATACTTTTGACAAAATGAAATGTAAAAAAAAACAAATAATTCATTCTTGGTATGTAACTTGTAGTCAATATCTTGTTATATTGACTGTTTTCAATAAATCAATCGACCTATCTATTTCTCTATGTAGTACAACTAATACTTTCTGTTTAACTCATCCATCAATTTCTATAGACTCATATAAGAAAGAGATACTCAATGACAATAGTGTCACTTGCTGCATATGACTTATCGAATGTAACATCGTGTACAGAATATTTTTGATCGAATATCAGTTAGACAGGAGACATAAATTATGTATACATACATCTATATATAAAAGCACATCTATCGTGAAAATAGAAATAGAAAGTCACTTAACGTGCTGCCGTTGCAACAAACAAGTAATAACAAAATGGTGTTACATGGGAAAGACAAAGCTCTTGAACAAATTCCCAAGTCTACAATTGCTTTTATTAGTAAAATAACGCATGTTCAGCGTGGTATTTCATCAGTCACAATGCCACCTAGAGATTATTATACATTACAATTCGATCACAAAGACTTGCGAACATTACGTGGTCGTGTTTATGACACAATGATCGATTTTGAATATTCTCAAGTAAAACTTTTTGAATTAAAAATATGTTGTTAATTCTATTTAGTTTTATATAGCTTGGAGAAGGTATTATCGCAGCAACAAATGACATTCATCGTGGAATCCGTAAATCTCAAGTTCAAATACCAACTACCGGTCATCTTTATGTTGCATGTCTTAATGATAATACAAAGCAAATAAATTATTTAATAGAAGTTAATCGATTTGAAGCTGATGATATTGTTAAACGTTTAAATATTACAATAAATACAAACTTAAAAAAATAAGACATTTTCCTTATATCTATTTATTCATGAATAAAGAGTATACATAAAGGGAAGAAAAAAAATATTCTAATTTTTTTCTTTGCTCATCTGACCAACAGCCAAAATAGTTTTTCTTGATTGTTTCGTTTTAAATGTATTTTTATTCGTTCGTAAATAAATCTAAATTGTCTTTGTTTGTTTGTTTTTTTACTAATATGATATTTTACGTTTTTTATTACTAGTTGCTGTACGTCGAGTTTTTTTCATGGTTGTTCCATGTTTTTTGGATGATGTTTTTCGTTTTGGTTGTTGATCTTCATCATCGGTTAATGTTTCACTAGTATTAACATCATCATCGTCATCATCTTCTTCATCGTCAGTTTTTGCTGCACGTTTTCCATGATGATTAACAGAGGTTTTCTTTGATTTATTGTTATTTAATGAACTTGAAGCACGTTTTTTATTTCCATTATTTGTTTTTGAACCATATTTTTCTAGAAGTTGATCATAAAAACTTGAACCAGCTCGTTGTTGTTGACGCATTTGTATAGCACGTTCAAGACTTGCATCATCATTACCAATATTAAGTTCTTTCATTAATTTTTCAGCTTCGGCTGCTTCTTTTGTTAACTATTTATATAGGAAATAGAATGAAATGACATAAAAACAATGAGACTGTTTTTTGTTTTTACTTTTTTGTGTCGTTTATTTCTTTTCGCTTTTGTTTCTTTAGTATAAGCATCAAAAGGTGGTACTTCCTTATCTTCAATCATTTGATCAATCATTGAACGTAAACGATCTTCATCTTCAAGACATGTTAGAAGATGTCGTTCAAATATTTGATCCATATCACCAGCTACTTCAAGATAGATTCGTTTTAAATCATTTTTTTCTTCATCAGAACCTAAAATATGAATATGATAAAAAATATGTATCATAAAGAAATCCACGGATATCAAAACGGTTTTTATAGAAAAAAACAATTTATAGAATTTCTTTGTGCTGGTTTAATCGAAAGTCATCATAAAACAGTTTCGAAGCTTAAAAGTTTTGGCATATGTAGGAATCTCCAAATGATTCCTATCTATATTGAATCTTGGCCGAGATATAGTAGAGTGCGATTTTTTAATACATAAGTTTCGTCGAGACCTCTTTTCTAAATTTTCGAACGATAGCTTCAGAACTATTTTCAAACACTAGAAAGTCGTTTTGTGCATCCAGAAAGACTCTGATGCTACTGAAAATATTGTCGAATTTCATAAAAACGGTGCATAATTGAAATACTAATAATCTATCAAAGAATCGATCAGTCAACTTACACGATTTGATTAATCATTGTCGAAATGCTATCCGAAACTGTTCATGTGAAGAAAACGTGTACCCGTACAATCTAATATAAAATTTCTAAGACCTACGAGCGAAACATAAGGGTTAGAGCAAAGCATTTTTTTCGTCACATCTGCACGACACTACTTAGGTCTCACCAACAGTTCTGACAATTTTTGTAAACCAATTAATATTTAAGAGTCTATTGCATTAATAAATAATAGAATGTCTTGTCGATAATAATACATATAGTAAATCTATTTTGGATTTAGTTCTACTATTCTTTCAGATAAAATCGAACTTCAACTAAAAAGAATTTTTCGAAAAAAATGGATAATGATTGTGATCGATATTACTTAGGGCATACCAAAAGTAATGACGCCGACACTATAATAGCTTACACAAGGGTAGAGAAAATTTTCTTTCCATACATTCTGATAGAGAAAAGAATGCTCTATTTTTCTATGCTATTTGATCATACTTCAGCTAATATCATAAGAATAAAATTGCGATAAGAACTTTTTTTTGTTTACAAGTTCACTAATATGTGAGGCAGATTAAATGGCCACGCTTTGCATTTCAGTTTTCAACCACTTAATAGGTTGTATAAAAAAAAGAAAATATATCACAAGATGCAGCGTGAAAAGCTTTACAATTTACTAAGAACAGTTTATTTCATATATGAAATGAGAAAAAAGAAATTTCTCGTCATCTAGAAAAAAATAATTTTTTTGGAGCAGCGAAAATTGGTCGCACCAAATTTTGGTTTTTTTTTGAAAATAAGAAGTACACAATTAAAGTAAGCTTTACTTTGTATATTGTAGAGCTGTTCACGCTGCATCTTATGGTATATTTTACTTTTTTAATATAACCTATTAAGTAGTTGAAAACTGAAATGCAAAGCGTGGGCATTTTATTTTCCTTACATATTAGTGAAGTTTTACACAATAACAGTTCTTATCGAAATTTTATTCTTATGATATTAGCTGAAGTATGATCAAATAGCATAGAAAAATAGAGCATTCTTTACTCTATCAGGCTTTATCGAAAAAAATTTCCTTTACCCTTATGTAAGCTATTATAGTGTCGGCGTCATTACTTTTGGTGTGCCCTAAGTATATTGAAATTAAGACTATTTCGGGAATTTATGCAAACACAATTCAGAAAGAGCATTGGCACCTAACATTCTATCATATCGAATAGTTGTAAGGTAGGCAAAACATTTTTAAAGAGGAATAGAACATGTTTATGTTGACCTTCAATGTGATCATGCATTTTCTAAACTGATAGATGTAAATATTCAACAGGTGCGACCGATAATCAACACGAATCCACATTTAAATTATGGTGATATTATAGTTGAGCTTTCTCATTCTTGTTAGAATAGAACGAATTATCGACAATTGTCTCAAAATGAGAAAAGTTACATCACGGTGGCTGCTTCATCAACTCAATAATGAAGAAAAGCAACAATGAGTTAGAACTTAGCGAAATTTCGTGATGAATCATTGCAGTTATGTACTATTATTATAGGTGATAATACATGGATTTATCATACGTCGCATAAGTCAACTAATGTAAACTAGATTAGTAAAGGTGAATCACCAACGATTATTATTTCCCAAAGTAGATTTCAAACAAAAAACTTTATTTTCAATATTCTTTAAATTAAATGATCTTGTTCTTATACCTAGTGTAGATCAAGACAAGACTATAGATCAAAACTATTATATCGATAATTTTCTCAAGTTTGTTGTCAATGAAATATAGAAAGTCATTAGGTGTAAAAGATATAGAATTACTTCATGACAATGCTTGATCTCATACTCATCCAGACGTTATTAATGATTTAACACAAAAAGGTATCAATTTAATGCCGGATCCATCTCTCTCACCAGACCTTGCAACATGTGATTAATGGCAAAATGATTACACCCCTAGGCAAAAGTCTCTTCCCCTCTCCCGTCCCCCCCCCCTAGCTCATTTTTCTTTGGGAGGGGGCGACACTTTTGCCCAAGGGTGTTTATCAAGCAAAATCTAATTGATCGAATAAGTCGATACTCATTGGCTCTTACAGTTTTCACGATAGTGGAAAAATCATCTAGAAAAAGTTTAAAAAAAAAACAAATTTCACAATTTGTTAGAAACGATGGAACTTGCCAAGCTTTTTGCTCTAATTAAATTGAACAGAGAATGAATCTCTTGTTAATTGCTATAGTTGCAAACTATACTGTATTTATAATCAACTAATAATAAAAAGCTTGAAATCGCTGATGGGACGTTCATCAGATTTTTCTCCAAAGCTGTTTTCTGATTACGTCCCATTGGACTAACACAATTAAATCCGATAAAAAAACTCTTCCCATGAATTTACTTAAATATCACTTCTTTACCTTTATATTTATTTTCAAATTCAACAAGATCATTTTTCGTAACTTTTCGAAACATTTTTTTACAATAATCATACCAATCATTTATACCCATAGTTAAATCATCATCATCCATCGCACCTAGAAAATATTTTAGGAAAATATTTCATGATAAACAAGTGTTTTGTTTTTGGTTATTACCGGTATCATCGTAAATTTTTCGTTTTTCATCATCAGAAAGAATTGCATAAATTTTACCGATGATTTGAAATTTCGTTTTGGCTTCTTCTTTTTGATCGATATCTGTTCGATCTGGATGATAACGAAGAGCTAACTGACGATAAGCTTTTTTCACTAAAACAAAGAAAAATTATTCAATCATAGATCTATTTCAAAAATATTCCAGTTTCAATTATTGTTCATATTTAGACAAAAAACAAGCATTCTAGCGTTTATTACTTTTTTATTTTTTATTTATGGATTTACAAGAATAAATTGATTATTTAATAAATAATTAAAATTCATTCATGTGTATAAATCTATCTATTCGTTTGACAAGACAATGAATTCTCAATTTGAATAATTAGATCATACCTTGAGCATCAGTAGCTGTTCGATGAATTGAAAAAATCTCATAAAGATTAGACGTTTGAAAGTGTTGCTGGCATTCTTGGGCAAGACCACGTTGTACTGGCATTATTTTACTAGACGAAATGAATAAAGAATAGAAAGAAGAAATGAATGCATGAATGTTTTATATATATTATGTGTTTTTTTTTCTTTCTTTAAGAAAATTTGACAGATATATATAGAATTATTTCAACCAATCAATAGTCTAATATCCGGTGTGAGGAAGGTACAAGAACAGTTTTTTATTGGTTAATTTATTCAGCCAATCAGTTAAGATTCTTGTTTAAAGAAATAAAATAGAAACAAAAAAACGTCTCTAAGGGCAAACATTAGAAGAAAGCTAAGAAATAGTTTATTCTATTTTTTCTTTCTTTATCTATCAGAATGATTTTACAAATGACATAAAAAAATAAAAGACCATGTCAACTGGATCATCAACTATAGCAGCAGCTACTAGTAATGGTAGTAGTAGTACACAATCACCATTACGGCCCACACAACAAGCATCTATTGCTGAACCATTAGTAGAAATAAAGCATAACTGGTTAATTAAAAATGTTCAACATAGTAGAGATGGAGATGAATATACAAGTGAATTATTTCCATGTGCAAATTGCTCAACTAGGTAATGATTTTTCTATACTTGATTAAACATATATATACATGAAGTGTGCAACAAAATTTTGAGATACTTTCTATTTTCGGGAAAAGAAAGGAGATGACAGCTATCTTTTGAGTGACAGACGCAGTCGGAACTATGATGTACAAAACTGATTTATTGTTGATTTAGTTGATTGGTGAATAAATATAGAAGAAAAACTGCTAAGTTTCTCCAGCAGGCAAAATTGTAAAGAATATATGTTAATATATGCGAAATTGAATGAGCTACGTCTTTTTTTTTTTTGTAAAAACTGATGACTTTCTAGTATATCGTCAGAAAGAGCATTACAAACTGTACAGAACTGAGTGCTATTTTTATTTCGTAATAGCTCATTGTAATATATTTTGTTTTTAAAAATAATTGAAAAGTTGATTAATACTCTATTAATGATTAAGAATATTAAACTTTCAAGAAAAATAGTCCGTTTTGTAGAACAGAATTCGCTCTATCAGATGAATTCTTGCATCAGATATAAAGCTTTGATAATATTAGAGTACAGAACAAGTTCAAAATAACTGAAATTTATCGTTGAAATTAGCGATCAAAATTGAAAAGGTTGTATTTTATGAGAGATACTTTGTACATAAGAATGGAAGATCTCATTTAATAGAATGAATTCTGCTGCACAAAATGCATGATTTTTCAAAGTTTTGAAATTTCTTAAAGCTTAATTTTCTTAATTATTAATAAAGTATTAATAAACATTTAAATGATTTTTAAAAAATCCTATTATAAGGAGTTATTGGAACGTAAAAAAATAGCACAGTTTTCAATATTCTTTCTAGCAGTATATTTGAAAGTCAAAGTCTTTCAAACATTTTTTATCAAAATGTTGTCCATTCAATTCTGTCTCTATTGATATATTCTTCTAAATTATCTGTTATTTGATAATGAAAAAATCGAAAAGATACTAAATGTGTTTTAAACTTTAGTCTGCTCGAGAAAATTTGCTAATTTTCCTTTTTACTTATGTAACAATCAACAATAGAGATGGGTATTGTAGATCTTAACTATGACTACATTTGTTATTCAAAAGATAGCTCTTATTTGTTTTCCTTTGATAGAAATAGAAAGTGTCTTTAACTTTCGCTGTTCACTTTATTTTTTTTTTATTAGTTGGATTATGCGTCTTTATCCATCCTATTGTGAACGTAACAGTATTTTTGTTAAATTTTATGTTTTTATGATTAAGGTATACAATTAATATTTGAACTTTGCAAAAATAATTTGATTTCTTTTTTCTTTTCTTTTGCACAGCCAAAATTACGTACAATAAAAGCTGAAGTTATTGTTACATGTGAATATAATGGAGAAGAAATTTATAAATATACATGGTCAAATGCTAGTTTTTATTGTGATCCGAGTGAATCATTTGATATAAAACGTAAAAATAAATAAAAAAAGAATATATATATATATTCAAAATTATTTTCATTTATATTCTTAGGTAATTATGTCATATCAAATTTTTTAAAATCATATATATCATCATCGCGTGATCGTCTATTATCGTGTCCATCATTAACGATAACACTTCAAATACGTCCAATGTGTGATGCATCAGGATGTGATGATTTACGTTTAATCAAAGTACGAAATGGAAATACAATTATTGATGAACCATCATTTACTTACCAATGGATTATTGAAGACTTTAATACAAAAACAAAGGTATTTCAAACTGTAAAATTTGATTTTCTATTAGATATGATGTGTAGTTTCGCAATTAGATGAGCACAATTTCTTTTTATGAGTTCTCTCTTAAATGAATAAGACGGATTCTATTTTATATATTTGCATATATATGGTTGAAGGAAATCATGCTTGTCGGAGATATATTTATTGAAGTAATTCTTACGATAGAACTCAGAATATTCGATTATTGTGATGCTGCTAGTCAGGATAATAATAGTTTTAAAATTCAAATATTAATAAATGAACATTCATTAAATGCTGATTAATTTACTCTGAATACTTTCGTGCTTACAATTCTTATTAGTTGATAGGTCTTGAAATTCGATATCTTTATTGGATAGAATTTCAAGGTACAATAGCAAATATACATCAAAGGATCTAAGATTTATTTTTCTATCTACATCAGAGTTTCTTTTATCGTCCAATGCAAAGAACTACAAAAAGAGAACAAATTACTAGTACAATTTAAATGTATTATGTGCTATCAATAGAAAAAGTCTAGTGATTTAAATAAGTAAATTTCGATTGTCATCTTCCTTTTATAGTAAAATTTATATTAATCATCAGACCAAAATAATTTGTTTTTACTTCTATCGCAGAATGTTTTATTTGCATGGCAGTTTAGCTATTGACCAGAGAACCGTCCTAATTGATAAACTATTTTTGAGTTCAGCCTCTATATATAAATTAGACACCAGTGAGATATGAAGAATCCCAAAAGGACAGGCAGCCTTTAGTCTTTTCTTCAGAGTTAGTATCATTTTACTGAAAATTTAGCCTAGAGCATAGTATACACCAAGAAATCCTATGCAACATTTCGCCAACAGACAGACTTACTGATAAATACAATATTGTGAAATTTCTTATTGACAACAATGGTTCCTGTATGAGATATTGAATTTCTAAAAAAAAAAGAAGATGAGACTCGTCTTTGATAAATTATGAATAAAATGTAGAAATTCAATATTCCGTAAAGGATATATTCTTGTAAGTTGAAAATTTTCAAATATTCTATTGACAAATAGGCCTATCTGTAGGCGAAGTTTCATTTCAAAATATTCTCATCTGATTTTTTGGCATATACCATGCTAAATGCTAAATTTCTAGTAAAATATGATTATAATTGTAAAGAGGAAACTAAATGACATTCATCCTTTTGAGATTTTTCATATCGCATTGCCGTCTAACTTATGCGTAGAGTACAAACCTCAAAACGGTTTATCACTTCGAACAGTTCTCTTGTAGGAGTAAGCAACTCCTACAATAGCTCATTGATTTCTTCTCAATTTATGACAGTGTCATTGATTTTCTAGCCTCGTGCAATNTGTTGTCCACGGGTGCTCACTATTCATTGGACAAGTTCGTAATTTTTTTTTTGCTGGATGCTTTTCAGACTGTCTTCGGGTGAATTAGAAGACGAAAATGAAAATCCAAGACCACTTCCATCAAAGTGGTATAAACTCCATGGAATCACCCAACTATCTATTCATCAATAGATAAATAAAACAATTTTTTTTTATTGAACAGAGATACAAGAAATGAAAAATCAAGCTGAACAAAAATTACGAGATAATATGGGAACACCACCTATAAGTATAAATCAAGATCGGGCGACATTTTTAATGAATACTGTTATTTATCCACAATTATTAATTGCTTATCGTGCACATATTCGACCAATAACATCAATTTGTTATGCTAATGATCGTGAAATTGTCATAACAAGTTCAATTGATTGTACTATACGATTATTTACTTTTACTGGACGATATATTGGTTATATGGGTCAATCAATGTCTTGGGGACCATTGAGTTCAACGATTATTTTAAAAGAGTCAGTTAATTTATTTGATTTAATCATTTTTTTAAAGCTATACGTCCTTTTCCTTTTTTTTTTTGAGAAAAAGTCAAATTTATCGGTTTTGTGATTGATAGTTTGCTAGACAGAGGGAAGTATCAACTCTCAAATATACTATAGTTTTATGATTTTATGATGAGATTTAAGAATATTACAGACGTATGAAATTGTTGGTGTGGATGAATTGAAGAGTCTACAACCACATCCTTAAATTAATTCATTTAATTGGTTGTAATCGATGATCTATAATAACTGACTCGTAGATTCTTTTTATATCAATTTATGGAGAAAAGTTTTAAAGTACAGTGTTGAAACTTATTGTGCGTTTTTTTCTTGATGGGACTTATGATTTTAATGTTTCCGTGTACCCGAGATTTCGCCATCATTTTAAACGGTAGAAATCTGTATCTTGATTCTTATGCATTTTATCAAAAGATCTTGTGAGGAAAATAGAAAAATTGAATTTTCTTAAGAACATACTTCTCTATTTTAACTGTTTCTAGTTCTCGAAGACTGTACAATCAATAAGACTAGAATTTCTACCTTAAAACCAACCCAAACTTTCTAGCATTTGAAATGGCAGAGAAGTTTGGCACGTACGAGCATCTATATTTTGACCTATAACTTTTAGCTAATTTTTCATAGACTCAATATATATTGAGCTGAATCTTTGATGCATAGTGATGAGTTCAATTAATCCAATAATATGAAAACAGAATAGTCAATCAAAGTTTGAGAGATTGATTAACTTTACATAAGCATAAACAGAAAAACTAATTTATTTTGCATGTAAATTTCGTGTCACGATACGTACGTATATATAGTTTACCAAAACAAGTTCCTGAAGATATACGTCGTGTTGGTTCAGCCACAACACTTGAATTACTTCGTGGTGATATTGGAAAACGATGGAAATTATTAAAACATACAATTGTTGCATGGACTTCATTACCTATTTTTCAATATTTTTGTATGTAGTTTTTTATTTTAACATTATTCAATAAATTTCATATATTCAGATCAAAATAAAGATTCTGAAATTCAGAAGACATCAAATCAAATACAAACACAATCAAATATTCATCATGAATCAAATGATTCAACAATAAATCATTTACAAAAATTAGATATTGAAGAAAAACGAGAATGGATACAACGTCGTGAACGTCTTCAACAAATAATTAAATCAGATGGTCTAAATTTTATTCCATTTACGAAAAAAAAATCTGTTGAATCAATGCTTAAAAATCAACGAGAGAATTTCGGTATAACAATGTCTATACTTGGTCAATTTAGTCGAAAATATATGCAACATAGACCAATATCAAACTTCAATCATTTACAAATTCATGGTGGAAAGGTTCAAAAAACTATTTTATTGATAAAATAAATTATTCAATTATTAATTTTTCTAGGCAATTATTTATTCGTTATTACCATTAGTATCATCATCAGATAATATTCCACAATTTACATTAAATTCGAACGAAATTCATAATGATATTTTATTCGAATATATTGATACAAAATTTGAAGAAAAGGAAACAAACAAACACTTACAACAACAACAACAACAACAACAACGAATTGATAAACATTCAATGATTCATTCGAATGATGTTTTTCTCAGTGGAGATAAATTACCAAAAATTAAAAGAAATCAAGATATTCAAATGTGTCCATCAATCAAATTACAAACAAATACTTTATCATTAAAATAATCATATTCTTTTTCTCTTGAAAACTACTCATGAAGTTTATCAAGGTTTAAAATACGAAGCAAAATAAAGATATTAGCAATTTAATTTCCAGTTTAAAATGTTAATAATAATTTATCACAGTAGAATAATACATTAACTATTGTTTATTTTTTGTCAAAATAATCTGACTAATAGAAATCACTAGTGAATCTATTGACAACGGATGTTATCCAACTGATTAATCGCTTTCGAGTCGGAAGCATGTGCATTCTATAGATCCGATATGGATTATTAATACTCCGAAATGAGTTCGTTTCCATAGCTTATTACTGCCGATATATTGCATTTTTACATTAGTTTTTAATATCATGCCGTAGTTTTTTTCTTAGGAACACTAGGAAAACTGATTTTTAAATATTGACTTGAACTTCTCATAGAAACAAGCGTTAACAAGAATAGTTAATCATGAAAGTATCAAGTCATTTGATTTGCTCCTATTTTCAAAAAAAACAACAACATTGAATCTGCAAATGTATATGAACGATTTAAAAGACGCGTTTTCACCATGCCTGTATTTTGGGATAGGAAAAACGAAAGAATATCTGAAATTTTCATAATAAACAATTCTCGTCAAGGCTTGTTTCTATACAAAGTTTCGAGTCAATACTCGACATTTCGGTAGCAATAAGGTATGGACACGAGCTGTTTTCAGAGTATTTATAACCTATTAGAATCTAAATGGTGAACGTACTTCCGACTGAAAAGTGATAGTTCAGTTGAAAGGACTTTCTTTGTGAGTTTAAGATAATCATGCACTGGGTCAATTGTCAGCAGGTACCACCGTTTTCAGCCGAAAAACTTGAAAAAATAATAAAAACTTGGAAGAAGTAATCCAATGGTCGAATCAAGTGGTAACCGACCATCGAATTCCTGATTTCAAGCTCCTACCGTTTCTCCGAGTTTTTATAGTAAGAATACTTATAGGATGACTTTTTCGTACCAAACAAAAGTAAGACTTTACATACAATAGAAGAATCAGTGATCAAAAGAATACTTCTTGGACTTGAGGATATCTTTGACCCGATAACTGATATCATATTAGGTAGCGAATGTGCAAACAAGCGAAGAAGCCTTCCCATCTACCTGCCTGATATGTTTCCTAAAATTTCAATAAAAAAAAAAATTGATTTTTTTTAAGTAAAAAATGTATTGATCAAAATTATAATCAGAAACATCATTGCTTCTGGCACATAGCAAATAATCTTTTTAATCATTTTGACTGAACACAATCATGATTATTAATAGGCTTATTATATTGCTCACTGGGGAATGATTTATTTGTTCGTTTTCTTAGGTTATTATTGCATCTTGTAATTGATAATTATTACTATCATTATTTCATATAAATTATTGATCATATCTTTTTTATTTTCTGAGTCATATTTATATTGTTGTAATATGGAAGAACTTTGTATATCTCCTTCAGCTAATTTATTAAATTCATTAAACATATTGTTAATTAAAAGCATAATTTTTCCTCTAAATATTTGTATTAGAGACTTCGTTGTTTTGCCTCATTCGATAGAGAATTTCCTGGTCTACACAACTACTGCCTTTGTTTTTCAAGTCACTTTTTTTTGTCAGCGTAAAATTTAAAAATCAACACGTATTCAATCATCTAACCGCGATTTCCGATTTTCTGCAGGTGTGTCGATCGATTTGTATTAATCTTAAATCATCAGAATTCATGCTAAAAGTTAAGTACTTAGCACCAACGGATTGTAAATTTCATACCTATTACTTTAACAATATTTTCAAAGTTTCTCCTGCTGGTGTTCAAAATAAAAAGATTTCGAATCAATATCTAGTGGTATTTCGAGACCCGTTCTGGAACACCATCTGTTAAATTGAAGAGTAGAAACATTGGGTTATATCGAATTAAAAATGATCAATGATGTGATTCTGTCAGAAAAGAATTTTTCCAGTTTTTAAACATTAATACTTCAAGTATCTTTCTCGCATATATTTCTTCTAACATCCTGAAACATTTATCGAAAGATAGAAAATTTTATAGAGAACTTTGCAGCATATTGAAAATTTCAACGAAATCTTTGAAACGTTTTTCATTTTTTGACCGTCGTAGTTATTAGACGATTGAGTAGGGGCTCATTTTTTAGCTTTTATTAAGCACGAAATTCTCCATTGAATGAGACAAAAATAAAGTCTTTAGCGTGAATTAATGAAAATCAATTTCTTTTCGAGTATTTTAATTGTATAAAGAGCTTTGTCTTATCCTAAAAAGTAACTTCTATTTTTACAGAATCTGCTATAAAGCTCTTTTATTCTCGAATAGACGATTATTTTCTTCCCAGCACATTTTTTTTTATAGAGCAGTCTTGCGTTTGTTTGAACTTTCTAATTTTACTTCTAAATTAACTTTTTATTGCTTCTAATTATTGCTATTATTAAGTTCGAAAAAAGAAATATGTCTGTAATTAGATAAATTTCTGCACAGATTAGAGCATATTAAAATAAATTATCTATAATTTTGTATCACAGTATCTAGCATGTAATCAACTGTTTATTTTGAATAAATGGACTATTCAAGATTAATTCAAATAAATATAGATATTTTGCCATTTACTTTCAGGCTAATCTGATTCGATGATGTCTGTGGGTTAATATTATGCTGGATATTATTGTCTACTTCTGACACTTCGAGACTATCATTCATTAAATAGGTGCTCTCATTTTTTTATTAGGCTTCTGACCACAATAGAAGACTCACCTTGAAGAAATCATGCATCGGATGTAATATATAATGTCTTATCATTAATTACTGACAAAACTGAGACTTTTATTAGTTTGTTTACATCAAAACATGCTTAGATTTCAGAGTTTTGAACTGAATAACGTTAATAAAGAAGACACAATAAGAGAACACTGATGAATTTGTATGCTTGAACATAATAAAAGATCCAAGATCTTTTATTGTGTAGAGAGGTTTGACAATAGTATAACCCTCAAGACTGATTATAAGAACTAATGCATATTGATCGATGAATAATGTCAATTTCGGAGAAAAGAAAAGAAAGCAAACAATAAAAACTAATATATATAGATATTCTTTTTCTTTCCTATTTTACTCTTATTGAAGGTCTTAAGAGCTATTCTATGATCATTTGTCAATTCTTTAATACACACACATATATAAACATTCGTATTTTGTAAATTGAAATAATCACTATTAAGAGTATGTATCTAAGGGATTTACACATTGATGATGAAGTTATAGTTTAGAATTGCCTGATTTTTTTTGAATATGTTGTAAATAAAGATTAGTTTAGCAATCTCTAAAATTTTCCGCTCAATCTAATCACTTTTCCAAGACCAATTTTTTAATCGTTTCTTACTAATTTTCTTTGAAAGGATAACTTTTGTCTTTCGAAATGAATTGAATGCTTTTGATCATCATTTTTAGTGATTTCTACTAATGCAGACGAAGTTTTCTTTTATTAAATATACAAAATATTAATATTTTGCAAAAAGAGTCCTATTGTATTCAATTTGACATTTTGTTAGCAAAATGTCAGTTGAACACTTTTGATACGGCAATAATGACGTGCCTCGATATTTTCACCAATATTAGAGCTCATATGAATAGCATTCTAATATAAAATAACTAAATCAGACATTCAAAATTTCAAGTGTTTACAAAAAGAAAATAGATTCATTAATATTTTACGATAAAAAATATGTCTTGTCGCACAGTTTTGCATCCTGATTATGAACATAAATTTTTTCTTTTAATATTTTGAATATCTGGCTTAGTAATTTTATATTAAAATGCTACTCACAACAAAAAAGGAGATAAAGACGAAAATTTTTAAGTGTTCGAGGAAGTATAATTTCTGAAAAGTATGTCAGCAACTTCAAATATATCTTATGAATAATAGAAAAAATATGACTTTTGATAAAAAATAATTGGTTTTTCACATTACGCCAAATTGTTAAATATATTAGATGATATAACTTTTTGAAGTCTACGATTGGTGAAAATATGGAGGCGTTCCATAGTTATTACATAAAACGCAGTCGACTGACATCTTGCTAACTAAATATCCGAATGGGGTAAGAATAAGGCTTTGATTCGGATATTATTATATTTTATATTTAAATAAAGAAAATTCTGTATCTAGTAGTAGAAACCATTAATAATTATGCCTAAGAGTGTTATAGCACACACGTAAGACATACTAAATGTGCTATAAGTATAATCCATATATGTTCGTTCTCTTTCCTTGTATTCGGTATTTTCCTCTCGTGTGTTCTCTGTGCTTCTTCCTTTATTGTCTTTGTTGCTTTGATACAATAACTAATGTATTTTTACAATTATATTATGTTATCTAGTGATATATTCTACCGTTCCCTCTTACATCTGATATATATATATACCTGTCGTTCCGATGTGAAAATCATCTGACTCAAACTTCATAAATAAACTTTTATGTACAACAACATCTATCGGACATAATAGTGTAGCCGGTACTCTTTTTTCGAAGTATCTTTCTGTGCTAGGTACTCACAAATACATTTTCGTGACGCACTCAAAATTATTTCGATGAGAGAAAACTCAGCAGAGATTCCTGTTGGCTCAAAAATTGAGAAAGTACTAACAAGAAAGGAAACTTGCTGGTACGTTTTGGCAATATATTGAAAAAGAGACAAAGTAATATTAAGTATTTATTCAATGAAAAAAAAATTGCAACTGAATAGTAAAAGAACAAATTTTTAAAACCTATAAAAAGTGAAAAATTTGATTATTTCTCATTTCTGTTTAGAACAAAGTATTGTTTTAGTAGAAGTTCCTCGCTTATTTTTTACATTGGAATACCATGTTGAATTATCTCAACGATTGAAAAATAACATAAAGAGCTGATCGTTTAATTGTATTTGATGATATTGGAATGGTAACAGATGAATCCTAACAAATGATGAACTTCCTTGCTATACAAGGATGTAATCGATCACTATGATCAGCATTCTAGCTATTAATTGATTTTGAAATTTGTCTAAAACATATAACGAAATATAAGGTAAATCCCAACGAGATATTAAAGCTCCCCAAATTATAACACTCCATAGGTTTTCCCTACAATGTTATAGCCGTTTTATTGAAATTTTATACTTCAGTACCGTATACGTAGAAAAAAAGCAAATAATAATATTTTGATCGAAAATTTGGCTCATAGATAGTTCTACTTATAACTATAATGTCCCGTTCACGAGATATTGAACTTGCAAAAAGAATTCATTTTTCACGAATGATTCGAAGGACTCATGTGGTTTTGGGTTTCAATACCCCATGAAGGAGACATTCTAATTGCAATTAGGCCTACATATAGACAAAATTTCAAGTCAAAATATTGTCATTCAAGTTTTTCTTACATACCGTACGTAAGTCTAAAACTTAAGTAAAGCGACTATAATTTTTGTAGAAAATGTCTACAAGCCTTATCCTTTTCAGGTTTTGAACATCGTATTGGACTCTACCTTATATAGAGAGTCTGAACTCAAAAGTGATTTTCAAGCGGAGACAAGTTCCTTTTTAAGAAGTAATAAACGTCTTGCCCACCCGATTTAGAAAAGTACAATTTTATTTTACAGCATTTTGATAGTACTAAATTACCTAAGTTACTTGTAAACTAAGCTTTTTTCTGTAAAATATTGGTGATAAATAATAGTATTAGCAGACGTATGAGTAGATGACATGTGTCACTGAAGGTGTCTTTGATTTATGTCAAAAGTATGAAGAGATTATGTCAGCATTGTCGAGTATTAATACAAAGAATACATCAAGTGATATTGAACGATTAGCACAATCCATTGTTGTCGTTGTTGATCATCTCTATTTTGAATATGGTCTTTGTGCATTTGTTAAATTAAATACAGCAGGAGCTGCTGATTGTATTTTTCAAGTTCTGAACAAAATTCAACACTCTAGAACTATAACTTCTCTCAAACAGAACCTATTTTGTTATGTTACTGTTTACATCATAGCAAATGCTCTCGATCAACATTTAACAACTCATACTATTGTTGAATAATTTATTGAAATTAAATTAGACTAAGTAATATTCCAACTGAGTAGACTGCTTTTAATTTATTATTAAATGGAAAACGTTTTTGTGAAACACAATCTAAAAGGAGTGATGAAGCATAGAGATAAAAATTTAGACCTCACAATGGCTGTGACAAATGTTGTTGATATATGATCAAAGCCCATATTTCAACAACGTCTCGTTTTTATAGATGAATTATTTCCTTATTGCATTTCTGGAGAATTATGTAACAGAATAATGAACGAATGTGTTTTAAAATACATAGAAAAAAGCAATCTCCTATGATTAACAACACGATGTGCCACATTTTAATCCCTCAGAAATCATATTAACAGCTTTCTTATATGAATTAATTTATGCAGAACTAATAATTCTAGAAAATATGTTAAACAATGAACAGCATATGTTAAATTTCTTGATGATAATGATAACATTGGTTAATTCATGTTTCAAAAACATATCGACATGAGTCAATATTCAAATAAAATTTATGCTAAAGATTTATTTGTTTCAAAAAATTAATCTAGAACATAAACAACGTAATTGGTGTATATATATCATGTTCGATGGTCAGCACTTGAAATGTTAATTATGAATGTAAAGTAATATTAAATATAAATTCATTTCTGTTAACTAATGTAGACATGTCTTTTTAATCTATATAAAATTGTACGTGATAAGTTCTTAAATCAAACTTATAAAAAAATGTACTCATTTTCAAGAAGTCTAATATTTTTGGTCGATTAGATATTATATAATGCTTTAAAATATCATATTATTTTAAATTCTTATTTACTTAAAAAATAATTAGAAGAGTTAATTACTTAAATATTTATATTGTAATAAAGTTTATGAGAGAATTTCAAGAACTAGCTATTTAGAATTTTCTTTTGTTATTTGTTAAGTCAAAACAAAAATTAAAAAAAAATATTCGATATATAATTATATGTGTGCTTAAATGGAAGAAAAATCTGTCAACTAGTAAGGAGAAACTTTTCTGAAAGTGAAACTCAGCTTTTGACTTGATATTATATTCAGATGGAGAATTTAGTCTGAGTCATATAATCTCAAAAGGACTTTGTTTTCCGAAATTTTCTTCTTGAGTTATGACTGTTTTATGATTCTTTTGCTCTTGTGCATAAATATCTCGAGAAAAATTAAATAACCTAATTTTGAGAAGAAATTTTGTCTATCAATAGATCAAGTTGTCATTAAATTATCCGAAAACATTTTTACGTAAACAAATATTCTCTTCTCGAAGTATTGAATTTTGAAAAGGACGCTCACATTTAAGTAAATAATTACAAAAATCCACATACTTTGAAATTCTAACATCCCATGAAGAAAACATTTGCTTATGCTAAAAATCTTCGAATAATTTAATGATAATTTGGTCTCTATCGGTAAACAAAATTGCAGTTCAAAATTATATTATTTGATTTTTCTCGATATGGCTATACGCAAGATAATAAAAAAACAGATAAAATGATAATAATTCGAGAAGAAAAGGTAGAAAACTCAATTTTTTGCTGGCTATATTAGTCTGGGGAAGATCTCAATGTAAACAAAATATCATGGCTAAAGCAGTTTTATCTACAGACAAATTTTGTCATATATGTAATTAATAAAGAAACATATTGCGAAGGAAAAAAAATATTTAATTTCCCGGCCATGAAAATCAAGTCCCCTTTGATGATTCATTGTGACATCTTTTTGAACAATGAAGTAGTAAATAGCAGTTTAAAAATTTAATTATTTTCTTTTGTTATTTAGAGTAATCACAAAAAATGTATTCATTAGTCAGCATTCATTTTAAAAAAAATTGATATACTTCTTTTCTTTAGAATAATTACATATTCAATTTTATTCGTAAATATGAGTTCACAAGATAAATTACATTTTTCTTTCTTTAGATTAAAAACAACAACTACTTGAACAGTAAGTATAATTTAAAAAAATTATATTTTTCTATATATGAGAAAAAGAAGAGAAAAAGCGATTCTTTAGCTCACTCATGAAACATCAATACAAACATGACAATAAACAATGTTATATACCAAAGAATTTCAAATTTAGTATTTAAATTTTATTCATGTAGGTTCGAAAAAATCTCAAAATTAAACCCAAGTGACAAACAAAAAAATCACGTCGTAGAGAATAATACCCGTGTTAAAACTTAGAAAGAAATCTAATTTTAAAGAGCTTTTTCCATGTTTGAAACTTGATTAAAGTGTTTCTATTCAAATAAGATTATTCGATTTTTAACCGTCTTTAATCGTGATGCGTTTGAAACGCATTTTTCTGAATTTTTAATTTAGAAACTCCATTTTTTTTGTGAACTCCTCATCTCCCTGCATTGATGAGTGTAACACTAGACCAACCTTTGATGCTCGCCATACTTCGAAGTGCGATAGTGATTAGTACTAACTCATGCAAATCAAAATACCAACAAATTAAATTTCTCTACCCTTTTGTCACACTTAGAGGCGTTACTTTATTATTATTTTTATTTATAATATAGAATAACTATAAATAAAATCTTGGTCTGTATAAAATAGAAATAAAGAAATTCTTTTTATTTGAAAAATAAATGTAAATAAAAAAAAAAAAAATAGTAAAATCTTCATGTTTATAAAATAAAGATAAAATAAATAATAAAGAAAATGTTTCTTCTATGAGAACATAATCTTTAGTTTTCACTAAGTAGTTTACAAAAAGTTAGGATACCATAGATGGAGATGAAATATACAGAAAAGTCTGTTGCATATATTTTTTCATGTATCAGCATGATTCTTAATAATATCACATGTCGAAGTGATATTAGTGTAAGAAAGAATATTCATTAACGTATCCTGCTGTTATATTAGGTATTTGTCTATTTATTTATTATAAAAATAAACGTTTCTTTTTTCTTTTTTTTATCTTTATTTTCGAAAGTAAACAATTCATCTATCTTTAGTCTATATATATAACGTTTATATTTTACTTCATTTTTTAGCCATAAAGATTTACTCATCTATTTATATTTATTTTATAAAAAAAGATAAAGAAACATCCGTAGTCCAATTGAATAAAAAGTCAATAGCCTTCTATTATGGAAATTCATATCGCTTTTTCAAAAATGGTCTTGTATTATGAGGTATTTTTTTGCTAGCATTTACCTAAAAAAATTAGGGGTTTTTGAAGAATTTTTCTGATATTTACATTAATGTGTCGAAATACGAGAAATATTACTTGGAAAACACTTTTTCTAGAGAAAAACTGATTTAAATTACAAGAAAATAGTTGTTTATTCAAAAACTAGGTTTTTAGGTGCTAAATCTTGCAAATTCGCAGAGTTTCCGAAAAACATTTAGGAAAACCCATGACCTGCTATTATACCTTGTAAAATTTTTCTTGTGAGTGTCCTAATGTAGGATGACTTCTATTCTTGGAAGGAAGATTTTAAATTAAAATCGACTATTTTTAATTAAGCCGATTCAAGTTGAGTCTTCAGATTGAAAGATAACTTTTGATTTGGTTTTCTTAGTAAAACTTGCTTTTCATGTTCATAAACTTCTTGTTCTTCTTGAGCAAGAAAGTTATATGATCTGCATACTTCTTGAGATCTGCAGAAGAAAACAAATTTGACTAGAGTTCTAATCAATTTTAAGCTGTAGATAAAGTTTAATCAATTAAAAATTGCTTTTTAAAAATCAGCTTTACTCGACCAAAATGCATTGAACATTAATCCTTTCAATCCCTCATGTCATCTACCAGATGACATGCAGAACAAAAAAGAAATATTTTGCACTCTTTCGTCTTAGATGGCGAATATCATATGATATGTTCAAATGAAAATCCCTTCGTATAGATATGAATAATGAATCTAGAATTCGAACATATATGATTGTGATAGCTGAATGCAAGAGAGAGAGAGATTAAACTATCTTTTTTCGTGTTCGTACACAACGCAAGAAAATGACGGGATTGAAAGGGTTAATGTCAAAGCATTTATCAACGTTTCATTCATTGACACAATTTGTCAAAAGGTTTTTTCTTTGTTTTTTAATTATTTTTTAATATGAATTTCTCATGTCAGATTAATTGAAATTACGCACGACATCATCATCATTTAGGGAAAAGTGACAGAATGTTAAGTCTGATGATCATGTGACAGATGTCACGTTGTATTGATGTTTTTTTTTTCTGTGAGATTATTAATAACATTCTGATAGAGTAAGAAGACGACTTGTCTCGCCACAGAACTTGATACTTTTTTTTTGTTATCTGAGGACATTTTCTATATTTACATATTTCGTTTCCACAAAATTAATAAAAAGATCTAAACTTGCTACTATCAATCAAATGTCTATTAAGCTCACGTTAACAGTGGTGAACTTTTTTGATTAACATTCTTTTGATTCACTTCATAGGAACACAGGCTTAACGCAATAACCAATAAAAAACTATCATCTATAGTCGCACTTTTATCTATGCTATGCCAAGAATACTTTATTTAAAGATTATATAAACGAAGTTTTTGTGTCAAGATTTTTATCTTAACAAACACTAATCTTTGATGATACGTAATGTGAATAATCAAGTAAGCATGAAATAACTAATAATTAATTTATATAATAAAAAGTTTGTATTTCATCATTGATAATAATACAATGTAATTATCATGAGTTTTTTCAAAATTTGATTAAATTATCAAGACTAGTTCTAAAAACTATCGTGCAAAATAATTAAATTAAACTATATTAACTTTCATTTCTAATCAGTGTTATTGATGTGTTAGATACTAATTAGTATAACGTATATAAATGTCACTTGCATAAAATCAAAGAACAATATCAGTTAACGACAATGATAAATAGTATGCATCAATAGATCTCAACTGTTCCGAGACGTGAGGCTCTTATATGCATTAAGAAAATATCTCTATTTTTACATTTTTTTCTTCAAAACCAATATTAAAAGATTCTATTACGGCTTTCATTTTATTTTAGTTTTTTTTTGTCTTTTATTTTATCTTATTCCCACGTACAAAGATCTATTTGCAGACAAAAAAGAATCCATTTAGTTAATGGAAATTGAGTCTGAGACGCAAGAGAAAGTATTTATTGATCAAATAAAAATAAGTTCTCTTTAACACTCATAATTATATTTTAACATAATCTGAGTCTATTTATATCAGATGAAGGCATTCAGTGTTTTATAATTAAGTTAAACATAATTGCGTAGATTCTCTTTGTTTTTTTGAAGTGAAAAATATATGAATATCATGGGTTTTTTCTCTTCTTTCTCAATTCATAAAAGAAATAGGATATGCTTAAACCATTGCATGCTGTAATTTGTTAAATAATTCGATATCAGACTAAAATTTTTTATATTTCATTCTATGTCTGGATATTTTATTAAAGGTTTAAATTTGCTAAGTACGTTGTACTTATAGAAATTCGTAGAGTTTATATATCACGCATGCTTGACGTTTAAAAGAATAAATAATAGAACAGAAAAGAGAAAAAAAAGAAAAAAAATATTGTCATACTATAAATATAGAACAGTTTTACTTTCATACAGACATTATTTGAAAACCATGGTTTCCAATGAAACGAATTTATCATTATGGCCATGTCTTCACTCATTACACTTTATTACATGGAGTGTACCATGTACTTTAAGTCGTTTAGGTGGTATTATTATTTTATCAATATCAGTTGTTTGTTTTACATTTAATATACGTTTTCTATGTTCTCAACGATGTCGAAATAGTCTGGTTGTTTCATTATTCTTAGCATCGCTTTTTGTTATAATGATCAGTGTTCCAGGTGTTCTTGTACAATTATTTACATGTCATCGTCATTGTCTAAACAGTTATTGTCGTATTGAAGGTTTTTTCTCATATTTATCTGGTTGTTTATGTATGTTAATTTTTACGCTATTATCAATTCATCGATATCTATCATTATGTTCATATGATCATCTTTTATCATATCGATGTTCAACATTTATTTGTTGGTTATTAAGTATTGCATTTACATTTCCATTAATATTCGATTATTTAAATTCTTATTTACCCGAAGGACTTGGTTTTCATTGTAGTATTAATTGGAAAGATCAATCAAATTTAGGTCGCTTATATATACTTTCATCGTTTATTCTTATGTATTTATTGCCATTAGCAATTCTTCTTTTTGTTAATATTCGAGCTCACTTAATTATTCGAAATATTTATTCAAAACGTTATTTAACTTCATCATTTTCAAAATATGTCCATAAAAGAGATTCAAGTAGATTAAATCGACAAGCAGATGATTATGAAAAAATTTATGTTCATAAATATTGTGTACGTAAAGCTACTGATCGTAAACGTTTTCGTATGGATTATCGATTTTTGCGTGCTATTGTATTTCTTGTTAGTAGTTATTTAATTGCATGGACACCTTATTCAGTAATTGCAATTTTACAACTACTAGATATAAAATTCATTTCTCAACACCCTTTTTTAATAACATTAAGTGCTTTTATTGCTAAACTATCAGTTATTTTAACGCCATTTGTTTATTTAAGTATTATGAATTATAAACTTTTTAAAAAAATTTTATTTAAATAAAAATCTTAAGAAGAAATAATAGGCTTGTTCTCTTCATTGTTAAATAGATATTCCATTAGAGAAAAGAAAGGAAAGCAAAATATTTTTTAATGCTTTGAAATGCCGTCTAATGTTTGTTTCCAAATGAAGTATAAGAGATAACATTTATAACGTAGTGTCGTAACTAGAAAAATATTTTCAAGACAGACAGGCTGAAAGCTTTCTAGATGCCGCTATGTGATTGCACCACTATCTTATATACGTCTGTTTTTCTCTCATTTATAAAAGAGACCTACATTTTTTGATCTTATGAAATGTTTACTACTTAGGTTGCTTAAACATGCTTACAACAAAACATATTTTGGTCTTGATATGAAACTTGAAAATCTTAATATTAATAAAAGATTATTCTATTTATGTTCAAAGTAATGATATATATACATGATTTAATTAGTTTAGTTGTTGATTTACATTTTGTGATTTTCAATGGAACCAGGAAAATGAAATACCATTTAGATTCTTTTTTCTTCTGTCGATTCTTCCTTTTTTTCCCTTTTTTAATATGTCTGTATTTCCATTTGCTTGTGTTTCGGAACGACAAGAAACATGAACGAAGATTATGTAAAGATGTTATTATAGTACAATGAAAGAAATGACGAAAAGAAAAAAAAGATTACTATTTATTAATTCATTTTAATATAATATGTTATCATGACATGTTTACATATATATTGATGCATTAGAGCCTCAATTATTAATACTAATTGTGAAAGGTTTTATAAAACTGAAATGTCATTTTGAAATATCCAGACTACAGTAGATACTTTAACCTTTTTCTTGATTAGAGTGCTTGTGAAGAGATGCAAAAAATTGCAATTATTTAACAATTAAACCGGAGATGGAGCGTATACTTAAAAAGAAACAGCAAATTTCGTGAAGAATCATCAAACTTCATTAGATTCTTTAATTGGATATTCAAGTAAAATAATGCAAAGTTGTTTGGAATCCTGTGACTGGATTTCTGAAAAACGTGGGAACTTCATTTTATAATATAGATTTGATAAACTCTAATATTTAATAGTTTGTGATACTAAGCCTTTAGCAGTAGCTGTAAATTCATCGAAGGACAACGGCTGTTAAGTTCTGTGTGATTTCACAAGTTTCTAAAAGACTTAGGATTTAAATATTTCGTATATTTTTGTATATGTTACGGTCAAAATAGAAATTCTAGTTTTGTCCGAACGAAATTAGAATCGAACTTAAAGTAAACTGAGTAAGTTGAAGATACTTAGAGTTTGAACAAATAAAGATTTCTGTTTTTTTGCAAACTATTTTTTATTTCACAATTCCTTTTTTAGCAAACAAGTTACAGTTTCTATTTTTTAAACTATTGGCCCATATTTTTACAAGATCCTAGTGTAGAATGACATTTAGTCGAGCAAAAAAACCTTGCTTTTTTACGTGGACATTGTTTACTGGCACATTTTCCTTTTCAGTGTCACATGTGCGTTCGCTTGTCGATCCACGAGCAAAAAGTTTACATGCTTCAATTATTTTAATATATTTTAATTCATCGATGACTAGTTGTTTTAATTCTTCTGGACAAGCTGATTTTAAATCGATTATATCTTCAGCAGAAAAAGTATTTTCTAATTTACCATATGGACAAACTAATTTATATAAAACATTGTTGTCTTTTTCAATTTTTTCAAAAATTAAACATGGCAAATATTTAGGATCAGTGTTTGTTCTGTCAACCGTATGAATGGGAATTCCAACACAATCATTTAAATTGAATCTGTTTGTTAATTCTTTAATGTTCTCTTGATATTTATTCATATTTTTATTCGCAGTAGCTAAGCAGTTATCCGTGGCGGTTTTACCAATGAGATTACATCTACTTTGTGATGATGAGATATGAGTTGATTGATTCGAAACAACATCATCAGATAATTTATGAACTATATTAATAACTTCACCGTCAATGCCATCAACAGGCTCGGTTGATCCATCTTTTATATTGTTCGATGCATCATCAATTCCATATTGTTGAACGAGCTTCCAGAATTCAGAATCTGAACGTGGTGGTTGTCTAAACATTACTTGATAGGGAGATGTGTTGGTAACATCAGATACTCTTGTGTTTNCAAGTTATAGGAAAAACGACTTTCTTAGGGTAAATCAAGGGAAAGAGTTCAAATTTGAGCTGTATTCGCCCCAAGTCATATTAGGTGAGCAATAGCCAATAGAAGTCAAGTGTTTATAGGAAAGATTTGCCAGGATAATTTTGATGTCCACACATTCTAGGATGACTCATCTGTCTAATTCACTTTTTGAAGTACACATAACTCTCGGATTTAAATCCGAGATTTCCACATTTATTTTGAGCTAAAATAGGGTTATTGTGGGATATAGGTTTTCCACCCTTTAGTTTCTTCGACCATAGAAAAGTTAAAGTATAGCTTATATAAGTCTATATTTTTTTCAGTAGATAACTAATTATCTCCTCTTTCGAATAGATACTGACAAGATTTTTTTTGACTTAAAAAAATGAACATTAAGGCAATACTTTTATACTCCTGAGAGGGGGGTCTTATAATTATGCAACGAGTGAAATTCAAAATTTCTTGAATCTAAATATTATTAATATTTAACCAAATAGAGATCAATATAGCACATCATAGATGCTTTAGCGGTGTCTATATATATGGCATTAGATCCCTTATCAAAGCTTCTTTAGTTGGTGAAAACTTTATTATTCTCAAACTTGTAGGGCGGGTCTTATAATTTTGGGAACCCCTGTACAAATAACTAATAGAATATTGTAATCCTCGGATCGGATATGAATAGGATACACGTATGAAAGATATTTATATGTACAGAGCACACATACGAAAACTAATATCCATGCGGTAGTCTAGAGTTTGGGTAGAAGGAATTGAAAGACAGTTGTTGATGTTTGGCATGTCATACGCATTTTTAATTCAGTGCCTTTATATTTTATGATAATTTTAATGTTATTATTTCATTATTTTTCAAAATGAAGAAAAAGATGCAATTGCAATGCGAACTATTGTTACGGGTATGAGTATGAAAGGTTATACCCGTGCAGTACTCTACGAATAAAGTTTACTTAGTTTCTTAAAAAACCAACACAATTGAATTAACAATTATAAAAATTGCGATGAGTAGTTTATTTGACTAGGTTAATGCATTATTGCTGCGATATGGAACTTTTAAAACCTGTAGCAAGACAATAAATTAAATATTTAGTTTTTTGAAAGCTTTTATCAATGGAAGCAAATGATGTTATCAGAGATGCTCCTCATAGATACCAATAAACAATATATACGGATAGAGCATAATAAATGGTCGCATTTTGCATTTCAATTTTAATCACGTGATACGTTGTATCAGGAAAAAAAACAACATCTACCGAATGACGCAGCGTGAAAATCTCAGCATTTTACAAAGAACAGCTTATTTTAGTTATATACACCTTTTGTTGTCAACAAGGATAAAACCCTGAGAGACCAATTCTACGTAGTTTGTATGTGTCTGGAATAAGTAATGTCAGAATGAATGGGAAGGTATAATTGGAAAACATATCGATCGCACTGAATTCAGTGATCGATGATGGTCTTCGATATGACTCAACCGAATCAATAAGAAAATGTATTCACTGTGTACCAATAAACGACCTTGTTCACAGTGTCGAATATTCACCGTACAGAATATGGTCCATTTTGAAAATAAAAGATAAATATATAAACTAAGTTGTTCTTTGTAAGTTGTAAAGTTTTTCATGCTGCGTCTCGTAGTATATTTTGCTTTTTTAATACAACATATAAAGTGATTAAGAGCTAAAACGCAAAGCACAACCATTTATTATACACCACCCGTTGTTTTACTGTTTAATACAAAATCTTTGCTGTGATTTGTAATTCTCATTGGTCATCAGTTTTTTTTTCTTATTTATATTCTTAGTTTTCTTTTTTCTTCATTCTATTATTCACTTTTTCTTTGCTATAAGGTTAAAGCATTTTTCGAATTGTAAGCAGATCGACAACGCCGATCTTTACATAGGATGCTGTTATTAGATAACATTCCACTTATACTAATAACAACTGTATCAATGGAATTTATTTCATGGTTTTTACACAAATATCTTTTTCACGGGCCTCTCTGGTTTATACACAAGACACATCATAATCGAACTCTTCATGCAACAATAGAATTAAATGATTTATTTAGTTTAATTTTTGCATTGATTTCAATGGTATTGATCATTATCGGTGTTTGGATTTCTTCACCGGTACCTCATGCTATAGGTCTTGGAATAACATTATATGGGTTTATTTATTTTATTATACATGATGGATTGATCCATCAACGATACCGTTTATGGAATAAGATATCAAATAATTATTTAAAACAAGTTCAACGAGCTCATCAACGACATCATATGTATCCGAATAAGCAACCTAGCGAGGAATTCGGACTTTTTCTTCTTTTTGGTAGAAAATATTGGAATGATATATTCATTAGTTAACCTATTTTTTTGTTCTTTTTTTATAATTAAAATAAAATCTATATTTATTCCACCGGTATTCTCGACATTCATATAAACTATCTTTTATTGTTTTGAATATACGACAAAAAAAAAAAAGACACATTTTTTCATGACCAAAGAAAAGAAAACAAGTACATTCAATACGAAGGTGAAGTTATTTCATTCCCATTCTGTTGTTGCTAAAAACAAAAAAAAAGTGATAAAAAAAAAAGAAATTTTCTTTTGATTTTTTCTACCTGGTGGTTTTGATGTTAAATCATATAAAATTCGACTTATACCAGGTACATTATTTTTAATTGTTTGACACATTTCATCTAACATTTCAAGAGGAAATGTTTCACCAGGTACAGCTGGTCGTCCAGTCATAAAATCTTTTGTAAGAAATGTACGCAAAACAACTGAATGTTGAAAACTACTAGCTATTGGTCGAAGACGTGTAAGAGGAATGATTCTTTCGTTAACATGTTCTTCAGTTTTATTGATTTCTTCATGATCATTTAAATAGATTTGTCTATCAAATTGTATTGGTATTAAAACAACTGGCATTTGACTTATTGCACTATATGCATTATGTTGTTTCATTATAACCATAGCATGATAATCACATGCACGAGCTTTATCAACAATATCTTGTGTTAATGATGTACGTGTTACTTGAGTAATTTCTGCATCAAGAATTTTTTTACCCTAAAAATAAAAGATTTGAGAAAACAAAATTTTTATTTATTTATTTACAAGAATATAAACAACACGATTGATATGATGACATGCTTTTGTTATCAATCGAGCCAGAATAAATAATTCATTCCAATTGGGTTTTTCATCATTTGAACTAATTGCTGCAGCAAAACTATATGTACGAGCATCACCTTGAACACCAACACTACGAATCTATGAGTAGAATAATAATAATATATATTACAAAAGAAAAAACAGAAATCTTGAGGCAATGGTCGATGACTGAAGTTCGCTAAATCCATGTCCAAAAACTTCAAGTCCGATAGAACATAGTCGTCTGAGAAATGTCCAGAATGTGCTGGTCACTGATTAAAAAAACTCGGAGACACAATATCTTGTATTTTCAGAGCGATTATGCAATGCCGATTAAAAAATTCCATTGAGAGTATCAAACTAAGGCTCGACCGGGTCCAAGTCCAAAAATTGTGAACTCAACGGACTCTATCGATGACGACGGCCTCTGTTCCTATAATAATGTTTTTATAATTGCTTTCTCGAAAAATACAAAGATCTATTGTTATTGATCGTATTTGGCTCTGCTCAACTATGTGGGTAAGAATCGTATTTTCTTCATACTATGTTATTCAGAAAATTATTTTCATACTTTCAATTTTACTTATTTGTCTTAGGAACATTTACCATTAGTATCAGAGCCATGGGGAGGCCAGAGATGGTTCTGCGGCCGTTGGTCACACTAATCTTACGAAATCGTTCAAATCTCTCTTTGTGCTATTCTTGCTTTAAATGAATCAAGTCATTGTGTTTTAAATTAGATTTATTAAATATATCTTCGAACAAGTTGAGTTTTGTACAATAATAATTTCAAAAAAGTTATTTTGATTTTTATTAATTATGTTAAAATTAGACAATTGGTATACTCTCCGAGAGATGAGTAAACGTTTTTTAAATGCAATTATTAACAGATGCGCTTGCAACTAGGGACATCTATATGACATCTTCAAATAATTAATAAATACAGAATATGTTTACATAATATAGTGGAAAAACTAAAAGAAGAAGCATAATTATCATATATTCATGTGGGAAATCAACATATGGTTTTCATTCTGTCAAGAGCTACTTCAGTGAAAATTGTGAGGCACGACATAAACAAAACATTTTTAGTCTAAAACACATGTTTACAGGAAATGTCTCATTCGATTGTTAAATAAATTAATCGGATACTGCAAGAGTTCTGCATTAATTTTGTTTTCAATATAGCGTGATAACAATTCGTCATGGAGACTTGATAATTCTATTACTAGAAAGAGGAAAGTTTCGACTGTATAGCTGTGTAAAATATGCTTAGTTCAAATATTTGCCGAAGGCTATAAAGTATCTTGCAAATATAAACAAAATCATTAATGAGAAATTCATTTTACCGATTTATTTTGCATTTGGTCTTCGAAATTTTTAGACACATTATGTGCAAGTATAACGAAAGCTATATGTGTTTTTCTACTCATATTAAAATATTCGAGTTACAAGACAACAGGTTTCCTAGGAAACAGTCTAGTTAAAAATTTTGATCTTTCCTCTCAATACAATGCATAAAGAAGTTTTTCTCATAATGTCTAATAGAAAAATTGCATCCTTTTATATAATGTAATTTTGTAGAAGACTCCCGAAATCTCATTGAACGTAATATATGAAGTTTCATTAACTTCGATTGCTAGAAAAAGTCTTATCTTTCAAAATTACTTATTGTTAGTGCTTTTTAATATCTAAATTATGACATAGAACGGATTGCTTCGAGTCCATAAATCAAGCGCATCACTGAAGCAAAATCTGCTAACAAAAGCAGTGGCGGATCCAGGGGGGTGGCGGGGGTGGCGACCGCCACCCCCTTCGAACTTAACTTCACGTTGTTTCCTAGTGATTTTTCATGGATATCTTACATTGTTGTCTAAACCGCCACCCCTTCCGCCTATTGGACTTTATTTTTCTCTTACCCGCCACTCCCTTCAAAAATTCCTGGATCCGCCACTGTAAAGAGGAAACTAAATGACATTCATCCTTTTGAGATTTTTCATATCGCATTGCCGTCTAACTTATGCGTAGAGTACAAACCTCAAAACGGTTTATCACTTCGAACAGTTCTCTTGTAGGAGTAAGCAACTCCTACAATAGCTCATTGATTTCTTCTCAATTTATGACAGTGTCATTGATTTTCTAGCCTCGTGCAATTTATATTTCCATTTTGACTATCAAAAAATTGTATGATCCATATCATACACGAAAAGTTTCCCTTAGAACGAATGCTTTCTTTCTGTGACAATAAATTTTTCAAGGAAATTATTCTTTTTTCCAAATTTTCTCTAAAATATTTGCATTCGTTGATGATTTGATATCTTAAAAAGAAAACAAAGATTCTAGGTGAAACTTTTAGTGTATGATACGGATCGTAAGATCTCTCTATGACCAAAATTTCAATTCTGAATGGAGGCATTCATTTTTTGATGATATATCCTATGAATCCATTGCATTGGTCTCAGTTTCGGTTGAATCAGATCTAGGTTCGAAATCCCGAACCCAGATTGGGCTACCCTACACTTGGTTAGAAACTCAGTGAACTCGGCACTACTCATGAAAAAAGCAATATTGTAACGAACCAAGATAGAATTTTCTTACTCTCAATAGACTCTATCTAATAATAGAAGATTTTTTATCATCTCGAGACATCGTCTGATCAGAATAAAATATGATTAAATATGATTCGAGTATGCACGAATATATTTCTTTTAGTTATGCTATGAAGATGAATGTCTTGAAAGTTCAATATTTACATTTGAACATAAATTAGATCGACATTATGTACATTTAAATAATTGTTTTCAATTATCATTAACACTTCAACGTGAACAAAATATGATTTTAATGTTATATCATTTAAGATTACGTATTAAAAAACATTTATCATATAAATTTCGTCTTGAATTTTTTGTTCGTGCTAATTTCTCAACACGTTTACTTAAAATGAGTGATATAGTTGATCCAATTGATGAATATATATTTGATCCATTTACAAGTAAAGAATTAAGTGATTGTACACAACAATATAATTCTAGTCCATGTTTGGTTTTTTTTGCACGTATTGTACTTTATGGACAAGAAAGTAATTCAAAATTATGTTTAAATATATTAGATGAAAATTTATTTTTAAATAATTCTAAAACAAATACATCATTAACAAACGAATTATTTCACACAGGAAAATTTTCTGATATTAAAATTAAAGTTGGTACTAAAGAATTTAATGTTCATCGTTGTATACTTGCAATATCAAGTGAAGTATTTGAACGTATGTTTTTATCTGATATGATTGAAACACGTTCAAATATTATTGAAATAAATGATATATCAGATGATATATGTGAAGAAATGCTTCGTTTTATTTATTGTAATGAAATAAAACATTTAGATATAAATGCATTAGATCTTTTATATGCAGCCGACAAATATGCTATTGAAAATTTAAAAATATTATGTATACAATCATTAATCAATACATTTACATTTGAAACAGCAGCTGAAATGCTCATTAGAGCAAATATTTATAATTCAAAATTGCTCAAAGACAATTTACTTGTATTTATCAAAACATATAGTAGAGAAGTATTTGCAACAGAACAATGGAAACAATTAGAACGAACACAGTAAGTTTGATTCGTTTCTTTTTGTATGTTCAATAAGGATAATAACTCGTAGAAAGCTTTAATTCTTATAAACAATTATGATAAGACTAAAATGAATCGTACATCTGAAAAAAATGATTAACAAATTATGTTTGAATATTTAGTCTTATTCAAATACTTAGAGAAATTTCAATGATTCAGAGCTAAGCAAAGTACTCGAAATCCTAGATTAGTGTGTATTGTATCAAAACAATGCTTAATAAAATTGTAGTATATATTTTCTAAAGATGAAACGAACAGCTGATTTCTTCTTTTTGTTCTGTACATACATATATCAAGATAAATACACAGAGGCCACACCATGATATAGCAACAGGGGTACTTTTTCTTTTGTTATTCTCTTTCACTACTAATATACTATGTAACTAGTAATCGATTCGTGTTTGTATATTATATAATTCTTTTTTCCTTTCATATACATAATTCATTCTTATTGAATACAATAAATTCATTGTTGTAATATTATGGATCAATTAGGATATCGGTGTCAGTAAAAGAGAAAAGTCACATCTACATCTTTAAATGTATATAATAAAGTTTTGGTGTAGTTTGATTGTTTGAAACTGGACAAAAACACATTGATTCATGATTCTTAGAATGTCTTGATCTCTAAATTGATAGGTCATTTCTAAAGTTATTAATTAAATTTTCTCTATTGAGGTCTTAGAGAATTTACCCTTATCTACTCGTACTCTTGAAAGTCTGTACTTGTCCAGCTCTGTGATGATTCGAATTTGAAAATTTATGTTTCCTTATTAGTGCATCCCAATGCGCTTACAAACAATAACATCTACTTAATCCTCTAATAACCAGTTACAGTGGCAAACATTTGACACCAGTTATTATATTCATTGAGTTTTTTTAAAATTCATTCTATACATCCCATTGATAACGGTACGGAACACGGAAACATTTTTTCCTTCTAAGAATTATATTACTGAAGACCATTATGCTTGCAATTTAAACGATCGGCTACAGAAATCTGACACGATGTTCTGCACTCTTGCTCATGCCTACGTGCGTCGTACGGTTCTGTCACTGTTTTTGTTCCGTGAAAATGTTTCCAAAGCGAGAAATCGTTTTCTTGGTATTTTTGGAGTTCGTCTTGACCCATGAGATTACGCAGCGTTGCTTAGACGTGCACTAGAAAGCGTGAAACAGTCCTACAGATCTCTAAAAGCCTATCTCATATAAAGTTATGTTTAAAATTAATTTTGATAATTATATCTTTATAAAGCATCGAAATTAAATTTTTTCTTCGTACATATCTTCATGATGCACTCAGACCGTCGTATGGTCAATCTAGGAAGATTATAGATACTCGAAATCATCTGAGCAATTTCGGCTGAATAATATATTTAAATATATTTATTTATTTTTCTTTGTAGACCATATCTTCTTGTTGATGTGTTACGGTTTTTGGCTAATGGAACATACATATAAACGTTCTTTAAAACTTCTATTACGAGACGCTACCGTTCAGATACAATTCTTCGTTTTTTTCTTTTTGAATCTGGAATCTCTTATTATATATATAATATATTATCTTGTGAATTTGTTTTGTTTTTTTGGTCATAATCTATTTATATTTACCGAAATTTTTAATAATAAAACAATCGTTTTGATTGTTTTTGTTGCAATTTAAAATAAATAAAAAATAAACGACATCTTTTAATCTTTAGATGCCTGTATCTGATTCATCGATATTTAATCAAGATCAATTAGTTTCTAATCTTCAATTACTTAATAATATTGGACGATTACTTGAAATTGATTCATCACAAATGGATAATGGAGAAATATTTTTAACTAAATTACGTAAATTACAAAATATTTATTATTTAACACAAAATCGTTTAGATACATTTGATGTTATTTTACCAACAATACAACAAAATTATATTGAAATGACAAATTTAGCTAAAATATTACATCAGTAAATAAAATGAATAATAATTAAATCTTTTGTTTTTTGTTGGTGTGTTGTTTTAGAAAACAACAAAATATAATTAATTGTCAAAATGAAAAATTTGATGAATATGAATCAACACGTATGACAACAATGGCTGAAACAAAATTTGTTGAAAATAAATTACAATCATTTGATATTAATGCTAAACCACCAGTTACGCATACACAAATTGAAAAGTTACAAAAAGTAATTTTAATAAATGCAAGAGACACTTCAAAAGTTTTTTTGCCATCCCACCCTAGACAACTACTCGACAGTTGGTTTTAATGTTGTTTTGCAATAAGCCTCAAACTTTGCACAATCCTAAATATGTCTAAGTGTTGTATTAGAATCGTTGCACTGAAATTACAGCTTTCAGAAGAGTCGAACGAACAAACTTTTGGCGTACTCTATATAAAAGACATAGATTTTTAATGAAACTTTTTGTGTTCAAGGATACGGATAATGCTCGATGTGAATATGAAATTCTTAAACAAAAAGTTGCTCATTGGATGCCGTGTGATGAACCAGTAAGTATTACCATAAAAAGAAATATTTTTTTAAAAACAGTATTCTTGATTTTTTGCTTTAATTAGACAATTGATAGTTTAACAAATAAAGCCGAGAGTGTACAAGATGAACTTGTAAGATGAAAAAAATGTTTTTTATTTATTATTTATTGGATTGAAAATTATATTATAGAGATCAATTGAAGATGAAATTTCAATGTATGTTACAGACGCATTTCAAATGAATAAGATAACTTCATCAGAATAAATAAATATATATATTTTTTTCTTATGTTAAATAAAACGTCAGATAATCTTTTTTTCTATAGAAATAAATAAATATACATCTTTTGTTAAAAGCTATGGATATGTTATTAGTATTTTAGATATGCGTCATCATCAACAGTATCATCGAAGACAATATTCAGCTAAATTGAACAGTAATGATTATGATCTATGTCCTACAGGTGGAGACGATGATCAGGTAGGTTCTGTTTTGAAGTCTATCTATCCTAATAACTTGAGCACAACTATCTGAGTGTATGTAAAAATCGAGATACAAGAGGATTATATCAAAGAGTTTTGAAAGTCAAACAAATCCATGTTGAGTTACTAACAAGGTAATCATGCAAACTGATAGCCGCTGTTTGAGTTTATATTGAAATCACAAAGATCTCTTGTTGGAACTAATAAAATTTGAAAAGAGTTTCTCCCCATGAGTCTTTGAAGTCGAGTTATAATCGTTTTACTGGACTTCTGGTACAGCTTTAAGTATATGCCGAAAAATAAAAGAAAAACAGAATTTCGATGTAAAATAGTGTCCATACATAGATCTAATGGTCGATAGAACATCGTGAAATTTTCAATAGACAAGAATGTTCTTTTGTCCAAATACTTAATTTTCAAATAGACTCGATTGTCATAATATGACTGTGCTAGAGTAACGCATGAGTATAACTTTTCGTAGTCAGTATCGATTTATGGAAGACTGACCCACGAGTTGCAGTACTTTAGCTTATGCCAAGCAATTACTTTTTTTTGATTTTGAATATCTCGACCAAAGAAATATCTTTGCAGGTGAAACTGTCAGGATATTATACGAGTTGTTCAACCTACCTATGAGCAAAATTTTACATTGAAATTTGTGTTTTTGATTTTCCAGTATACGTCTAAAATCGAGTCATACATTTCAGATAATGATTATAACATGACCTTATAGGCTGATAAGGACAAATCTTTTTAGGTTTTTGTTAGTCCCACCAAAACATCCTTGTGGTTTAATATGAACTAATATGGCGAATATCAGTTTTTGAGATTTCCTCACAAATGTAATTTGTTGACGACATTTCCTATAGTTTTGCTTTTCTTGTACATTCATAGTTTAAATGAATTTTTCATGTTAATTGATTATATAACTATTGATCGCAATATAATGAGGTTATCGAAAAACTAAAAGAAAAAGAAAAACAAATGCATTTCACTTTTGTATCCGATATTCAAGAATATATATTTATAATAAAATAATAATTATGTTCTCTTAGTTTTCATCAAATGTGCCTTATCGCATGATGAATGCGAATATAGATTCAGTTGTTGATTATTTAAGTGATGATGAATCTGATTCCGAAGTGCCTGCTGGATGTGTAAGTTTAACAAAAAAAAGTCTGTCCTATTCTTAAGCAAAGTTTTTTTCGTATATAGAATTTGGACATATCTAATCCAGTACGTGAAGTAATTTATCAAATGCTTAATAATTATATGAATGATGATAAATCAAATACAGAAATTGAATTTCCATCATCATTATTTTGTCATGAACGAATATTTGTTCGTCAACAAGCACAACAACGAAATCTTATTTGTCGAACATTTGGGTAAATTTAATTTTTCAAATTATGAAAAAAAATGTTTTTAATAACTTTATTGTTTTTGTTTTTTCCAAACGTCTTTAGACGTGGTGCATCACGTGTAATTGCTGTTTCGAAATCAACAACTGAATCAGTTTTAAATAATACTAATGATTCAAACAAACAAATAACATTTTCATTAAATAATTTACAATTAATTCATGATATTAATATTTATTTACAATCATGTCCTATTTCTGCTGAAGATAATGATTTACTTCAAGCTAAAATACAAAAAACACCAAGTTCTCTTAATGGTAAATCGAAAATAAATGTTTTCTTTTTTAATTTTAACATACTATGTGTTTAGATTGGTTTTATTGTACGTTATTACGATCGGGTAATCCACTTGCTAAAATATCGGATATTAAACCTCGTGTACCGGATCAAAAATTTCTCTCTCATGAACATTTCATTCGATTATTACCTATTGATAAAACATCAACACGTGATAATCTTCTTCATCTGATTGAAAGTAATAGTTAACAAATAAAGTAAAGATAAAAAATAAAACTCTTATTTCTTCAGGTAATAAAATGATATTCTTAAGTGGAGCACCAGCCATTGGAAAATCAATTAGGGTATTTTTTTAAATTTTTTATTTCTATTCTAAATTATGTTTTTTTCTTAATTAGATTTGCCAATATTTAAATGATGATAATTTTGATAAACAATGGCCTATTCGTATTCTTCATAGTTGTGCAAATAGTCTTGCTGCATATGCATTATCAACTATTTTATCATCATTTAATCAACCGATTGATTGCTTTACATTTGATAATATGTAAGGTGCTAGCAATGCGAAATATGTACAAAAAATATTTTTGCCTTAGCTTGATAGAGCTCGTTGAGCTAAGATTAAAAAGTCTTATTTTGACATATTCGAAGGATACTATTGTATCGAACCTCAGAAAAATTAGTTTAAAAACGACAGAAAAGCCTATAAAAATTGAAATACACCAAAAGCATCAAGTCTCGATAGTCTAAATACCTATTTGTATTCTTCTCATCATATGCTCGGGAAAGAAAATTATTCATGCTTTTTGAAAAAATATTGTTTGATTGTTGAGAAAATGGATCTGTTCTATATGATAGCAAAACACTATAAATACGAGTTTGTCTTCAAAGATTTTGACTATCAGAATTTCAGTTGCGAATGAAATGAGCATCATATTCAGAATCAGCATAAAAATCTGCATCGAATAGTATACTCAATGCTTAAAACTATACTTCGACTTTAGAGATAGCACAGACCATAGTATTCGAAAATAGCAATGATGAGGTACAAGAATCGAAAGTTGACGAAAATTAATTTTAAGAATGGAGTCTACTATTCGATGCCGATTTTTATGCTGATTCTGAATATGATATTCAATTTATTAGCAACTAAAGTTCTGACGGTCGAAATCTTGGAATACGAATCCATATGTATGGCGTTTGGCTATCAAATCGAAAAAATTGATTTTCTCAACAATCAAACAATACTTTGAAAAACACGATCTAAAAAGAGTGTTGAAGTATAAGCAGTAGAGATTTTCACTCATCTCCTGGCTCCCCTCCACAAATTATGACAGACAGTACTATGGCAACGTCACAAACCGTGACAAACACGTTAGAAATGGCTCATTACTGGAGCCCGTCCGGTTCGGGTTCATAAACTTTGAACCCGATGCACTCTATTCTATAAGTTTTTCAGATCATTCGACTGAAAAACATAAGCTTTTCTGACTATTTTTTTTTAAACTAATTTTCCTAATGTTCAATACAAAAATGTTGTTTGAATATGTCAAAAACAACGTTTTCATAGATAAATGCTGCAAATTCTACCCAACCATAACGAAAAAATGTTCGAATTTCGAATGTCCGGCACCTTATAAATAGCATAAAATAATAATTTCGAAAATTTTCTTTCTATACAATAGGTCATTAACTGCTGAATCAACATCATTAATAACAATAACAACACATGAGTTTCTTTTACATACATTAATAAGTGGAGATTATTTATTAAAATCATCAATAACACATTTAATTGTTGATGACGTGCACAAGCGATCACATACATTGGATATGTTGTTAGCTTATTTAAAAGATACACATAATAAATTTCGACATTTAAAAATAATTCTTATACAAACAACAATACAATATGATACATTAGTTAAATATTTTGGAAATGTTGCAACACATACAAGTATTTAAAATGACAAAAAGAAACATGAGAATTTCGTTGTTTTTAATCTTATTGAATAAAATTTTCTTTTTATAGTTGATATGAATGGAATAATGAACGAAAAGATTGAAGAAGTATTTCTTGATCAAATTTTATTTGATATTCAACGAATTGATCAGAATAAATGTTTATCAATTGGTAAAAAAAAAGAATTAACATAAATATAATTTAGATATAATACTATTTTTTATTAAATAGCTAATTATGGAATGCAATTATTAGATCATTGGTGCCATTTAGCAGAACAAGTATCTATTCATCATCAAGTATCATCAATGATTATTTGCGAATCATGTCAAAATATTTATTCATTATTAGTATGAAATTTATATATTTCAACAATAAAACTATTTACTTATTTATAGGAACAAAATATGACAGAAGATGAAAAATATTTGAGTAATTTGATCGGTCGATGTTTTATTAATGGATTAATAGAAGATTTTCAATTGATGATGAATTTTATTATTCAATATCCAAATAAATGTAAGAGTTATTGAATTACTAAAATTTTCTATAGTTACATATTTATATGTATATTTTGAACTATTTTCTTACAAATCATGAAAAGTTCGGAAAAAAAATAGTTGATGCTACGATCGATACACATATAGCTTACTACTCATGTTTTATAAAAGCGATGGGATTCCATTGATATATACTTTCATGTATACCAGAGATGACATCAAGATGATTTTTTTACTATCAGTACCGAACCGATCAGGCTACATTCAATGACTGGTATATCAAATAATTCATGGCTATTGAGAACAGATCACTTAAAATATTGAAATTTTATTTTATTACGAGACATAGTCTGAGATTCTAAGTTACACCATATATTCAATGCATTTTCTCGGACTGTCGAGATAGTTACATATGATCTATAATTGCGATGACTATGCCATTTGAGAATGGCAAAGAGATATGAGCAGAACCAGTCGTTGGCCGAATCGGAACCTTCTTGCCCATATCTTATTTAGAACATATAGGTATTGTTCTCAATGAAAACGATGTTGGTCCTGGTTGGTAGGACCAAAACCATCTTGCCGGTAGCTACAGAGTGGTCTATCAATAACGATCAATCTGTAGTATCAATTACATCTGTGATGTATTCAAAAATTGAAATTTTTATATTTCGCTAGAAAGATAATAAAAACGAGACAATACAGATCTGGCACGTATGACTATGATTGATTGACTTTAGTCATTAAATATTACAATGAATGTTGTTTTTTAATTGATAAAGAGTCAAATTATTTTTTTTTTTAGGTAATTATCAACATCCATTAACACTTGTAACACCATTAATGTGTATATCGATGTGGAGTATAAAAACATTTATTGAACACTTATTATTAATTGATGGTTTATTAATTAATCTTCGTGCTGCAAATAATTTTTCTGCTATCGATTTTGCACGAAAATTTGCTACTAATGAAACGATTGATTTACTTGAAACTAAAATAACGTAAGTATTCTAACAAAAATTAATGACCATTGCTTTTTTTCTAAATGGGTGTGTATCTATCAACAGTTAATATAATCATTAAAACGGTAAGAATAAAACAAAAAAAAATAATACTTAAATCGCATGATTAGCTTAGAAATATGCTCGAGAATATTAAAAAAAATATTGATTATTTGGGATATGCATGTATATTGGCGGCGAAAATTCATTGATTGATCTGCATGATAATCTTTTTTTTTTATTTTTTGTTTGATCAATTAGTAAATAGTTTCTACTTCCAAACAACTTTAGACATGATCCTCTTCTTTTGGAACAATTATTAAGTTTAACAAATAATAATTCAAATTCTATAGCATCAATAGTATTAATGAAATATTATTTACAAACACGAAAATTTGATGATATTATTGATTATGAATTAATTTTATCAATTGTTCAATATGTTTGTCGAATACAATCAGGTTTATTGAATATTTAATATTAATAAAGAAGTTTTTAATAGTTTTTTTGTTTTGTTTCAAGGTCATATTCTTGTTTTCCTACCTAGTCCGGATGAGATATCCATAATGGCTGATATAATTTTGAATACAAATTTTGCAAATGAGTAAATTTCTAGTTCATTGAAAAATGATTGCTTTATAAATTTTTTTTCCTCTAGATTTGGAATAGAAGTTCATACGATTTTAAATTCTAAATCATGGTCATTAATGAATAATGACCGTTTACGATTATTGGTATGTACGATGGAATTATTAAATTTAAGAAAGAATATTATTTTGTTTTAGATTCTTTGTGATGCTAGTTGCGAAACAGGTGTACCTTTTCGTAATATAAGTTGTGTTATTGATACAGGAATTACACTTGAGGTATATTTTAATAGAGATATTTTTTCATTGTTTGATTAATTTCAATATTTAAGAAATGCTATCATACAACAACATCGAAATTTTTGCCAAAATATAATTGGATAAGTCAAACAAGTGCTACAGAAAGAAAACATCGGTATAAAAAAAATAATATATATATCTGACTTTTATATGGAACTTGAATTTATTTTTTAGGGCAAATATAGAAGAAGGAGGTATCTGTTACCGACTTTATCCTCGTTCTTTGTTCGATGAAAAAATCAATGAGAATATCAATTCAGAAATGGCTCGACAACCATTACTTGTATGTACAAAGAAAAACCGCATATCCATTGATGAAAACAAAACATCTCTTTCCTCAAGAATAACTTTAAAGAAAACATCTATCGAAGATAAAATTCGATAAGGATAGTTTGCAAAAATAAAGATCGATCACTTTTCTCAATTATGACAGATTTAAATATTAATCTTAATTATCTGCAAATGAATAAAAAATAGAGGTACCTACAGATGTACTCAAATATGAACAGGATCGGAGCAATCTTTCTAATATCTATTCAGAATATATGATTCATGCCAATATGACACTAAAACATTTGATTCTGGTTCCGTCGAAACTGGGACTAGAGTCCTATTGGATGTGGAACCGACCCGACACTCTCTAACCAAGACCGTTTTACTCATATTTAGATGTGCGTACTAATTTACTAATCCTTGTTACATTTATTTCAGTCTGTGTCAGATATCAGAATTACTATCTGTAGATCTCATTAAGGGTACCTCTTGCTTTCTGCAGTTTCTGGAGAACAGCTAAAGAGAAAATTTTGAAATTTTGTACGCCAAATAGGTCTTGACAAGCAGAGCAAAAGTTATCGTAGACTTAAAGTCTGCGAATTCTATTTTCCATGAGATAGCAAAGGCTCAATTGACGCCCATATTTCTCCGATATTCTATGTTCGATCAAGTTAACAACTTTTTCCAAGCACTAGACACTATTTGAGGTGATTGTCTTTTTTTGTCTTTCAAATAAAAAAGCCAAGATTTCTATGGTATCCTAAAAACCGAAGTAGTTTTTCGGTAATTTTTTTTGTAAGAGCTACTAAAACTCAGTAGAATAATATTTCTCGAACCAAAAAGAATCCCCATCCTAAATAGTGTATGATATATGTGAAAAAATGCTTCCGTTCGATCGGGCGTACTAGGCAGAAAAAATGCGACACACTGTACAGCTTTCGCTCCCAGAATGTACTTAATAGATAGATGCTACTTTAGACTATGCAATAACCACGAAAAACAAAAGTTTAGAGTCACGAAAGCTGGGCGATCCTACACTCTAATACAAAACTGTCTTTTCTATTTTAGGAAAATATAATGCAAGCAAAATTATTTGCTTGGACAAATTGTTCTGTTGCAGAATTTATGTTAAAATTACCATTTCCTCCACCATTTGCTGTTGTTCGGGCTGGAATTTCGCAACTCAAAGTAAAACATTTATTGTTTCTTTTTCCTAAAAAAAGTTTTTTCATTTAGAGTCTTGATTTACTGGATAAATGGGAAGATCTTGTCGAATTAGGTGCATATTGTTTAGCATTACCTATTGTTGAATTACCATATGCAATGATGGTTGTTTATGCTCATCTTTTTAAATGTCTTCAACCAATATTAATTATTGCTTCGACATTAATTATTGGCGATCCTTGTAAATAAAAATAAAATCCAAAAGAAAAATTTTGTTTCTCTTTTCATTTTAGTTCAATCGAAGTCAAATATTCGTTGTTTATCAGAATTCAAACAACAATTAGCATCAAATAAAAATTCGGATCATTTCGTTTTTTACCAATTATATCTTGTGAGAATTAGAACTTTTGTTTTTAAATAATTTATATAAATTCTTTTTTAAGCAATGGGAACAATCAATTGATAAAAAACAATTTTGTATTAATCAAAATATAAAATATTTTCGTATGAAACAAATTGATTATTTCAAGTAAGAAATAATTCCAAATAAAAATAAAATAAATTTTTTTTTCTAGAAAATCAATAATTGACTTTTTAATAAATATCAATTTTTCAAATTTCTTTTATTCAAATAATGAAACTATTGATTTAGATGAAAATTCTTCATGTTGGCCACTTATTCAAGCAATACTTGCTCGTTGTTTACCACAAAATTTACTTATATATGATCAACAATGGTTATCAAAGTAAGATTTGAATATTAAATATCACATTGCAAAAATTTATTTTTCTAAATATTAGTCGAAATGAATTAGTTGTATTTGATCAATCATCAATATTACATAATATACAATGGAATGAACAAGAAAGAATTCGTTTTGCTATATGTGATGATTTAATACGTTCAACAAAAGGTTTATTTATTGGTAAATATTGTACATTAATTGAAGATATTGTTCTATTATTTTTTGGAACAATTAATGATACATTGAAAATAAATGATTATCAAATCATTTTATCAGATAATAATAATAATCTATTTAAATTACGAACTAAATTAAATGCTTGTATAAAAAGAAAATTACAATCGCTTGGTTGTGATAATGATACAACAAATGACTATCATTCATTTAATCTATTAGTCAAAATTTTTTCAAATATTAAGTAATAGAAAAAAAGAAATAAAGCAAAACCAAACAAGCCGTAGAAAATCTGTGATAGAAAGAAAAGAAGAACAAATGAAATAAAAACTTTTTTAGTTTGCTGTGTTTTGTGATATTTGTATTAAAACCTTTAGTATTCATAATCACTTTAATTTCTTTTTTTTTCTCTTCGTCTATTTCGAAGCTCACTTAAAAAGAATAAAAAAAAACCTGTACAAAAAGAAAAAGAAAAAGAAACTCAATGGTTTTTTTTAATTATATGTAAATGTTCGTTTGTTTTGTTTAGCACCAAAATCAGAGACAAGAATTTTGTTTTTAGACAGAAGTAAATGAATGATCGCTTGAACTGACTGTACTTGTCAATGAATGACTATCGATATCAATATGTGTTGCATATAAATCGATGAGATCTAAATCAAACGCATGATCCCAATCTAGTTCAGCTTTGCGATTACGATATTGACCGCGTTGTTTAGGCTCTCTTTGTTTGAATGTATGATAAGTCATATCATTATCCCCATCATCATCATTTAAATCATGATGCGATGAAAATAGGTCATTTTTTATTTCCATTAATGGCCGAATAGGTTGATGCTGATAACGATAATGTATCCGATCATAACTGTTATAATATTGTTGCTGTTGGCAATTTGATGATGCATGTGATGGACGAGTGAAATATTGTTGCTGTTGATGTCGGTGATTACTATTGTAATAAATGTTTTTTGGTTGGAAAGAAGATGAACGGTAATTATCTTTAGAACGACGTGTACGTGGATTTGAATGAGTGTCGGTTATTGATCTTGCTTCTGTATCATGTTTAACTGTAATTAATAGATTTTGATATCGAGATGAATATTGTCGCTGCTGACCGGCCATCTTCAGCATACTAATATGAATCAGTTAAAAAGTTATACTTAACAATGAATAAATGTAGATGTGTGTCAAAGTTAAAATATATTAAAATCTATAATTCAAGAACGGATGTAGATGAATGAGGAAAAGTATACTTTCATTTGCACACATATATTCTGCACACAAAAGAGTGAAAAAGGATCAACCTTCATCGACCATCAAATAGGTCGCACATCTATCAATCATTAAATCGGACACGAGCTATATATATATATATATATATGAAGTAGCGTTCAACGTTATTTTTTTTCCTCTTCTATATAAAATAAGGCCCGATTAGAGCAAAAAAGTCATTTATTTCGGATTAATTCATTGCCGGTATATTGCGCAAGGATTGATCAGTCGAGATATCATCAACTAAATAATGATGATGATGTGCTCCGCATATGCAAGGACAATAGCAACATACATACACTCACACTAATGATATCTACGCTATTAAGTTTCTAAAAGGATCAAAATGATAACTGCCCATAATTTATCTGATCAGAACAGTTGTCCTATATAATGCGAAGATGATTTTTTTGGGTTTTTTTTTGTTCTACAACATTAGTTAAAGTTTCTTTGTTGATAACAATGCATTATACATAGTCTACATGTTAAAAGAAAACAGATGTTACCAAAACATAATACTAACAATGAGAAAGAAGTACAATAGTACATTGTTTTTGTTAAATATGATCGCATATTTTTAGTTATGTTCTATTAAATATAATGTAAATGCTTACGATATACATTTATTAAGTAATAGTTTATTGAGTGAAAAGTACCAGTTGAGTAATAGATACTGTTTTTGAAAATGAATTCAACGAGAATGTGAATAAGGGTAACAGATGAGTAAAGTGACTTTTTTTTTTTATTTCGTATACATTTTTCGTTCAATTGAGTCGAGTGACAAAAGAACAGAAATGTAGTTTTGGCTTTCTTTTTCTTCTTCATATATCCATCGGGCTTACTTTCTCTCTTTTTTTTATATTCGTCGATTTACATGGCATCTGTTGCTTTTTTCTGTATGAAGTTATTTTTTCTTTCTTCTCTTTTTTTTCCTTTGTTAATGCAATGAATAAAAAGAAAGAAATCATTATGAAAGTGAACAAATGAACAAATTCAATAAAAGAAGCATTCTTTCAAACGCTGTTTTCTTTTGTACTATTGTGTCATACATTTCATCTATATATAGGTATCAACTATGTATATATATACAAATGTATATATATATATATATATATATATACGTGTGTGTGCGTTTGTACGCTTCATTTCGCAGATCTAACAAATGTATTATCTATATTACAAATATTTACTTGTCGCTGTCATAAACAATGGTTATTGAAGAGAAAAGATTTCTTCAAACATCAATATGTACTCGTCGACAAATGATGAATAAAAGATTCTTCCTGGCATTTATTACCATCATATACAAGCTATACGTCTATGCACAGCATGATAGAAATAGTGGTAGTAATAGTAGTAGTAGCAATAGCAAAAAAGAAAAAGAAAATAGAAAAGAGACGTGAAACCTAGGCATGCACTCAATAATTAGGCAAGGCATATGTAAAACAGAAAAAAAGCATCAATTGACGAGGATCGAAATCGATAACAAGTGATAGTTGCTGTTGTCGTCATCGTCTTCATCATTATCATACATTGAATATGGGGAAAGAGAACATTATTAAGATAAAAGCCAAATCGACATGTCTGTCGTGACAACTATTTGAAAGTGGTATCTACATATACGTGTGTTATTTGCCTTCTGTATCACTCAGTCTATATAATCACAACTCTTCATTAATTATGTAGTTTAGCCGTTGGTCATATGATTATATTATTTTGAATAGATAGACAGTCAACAATACTTCATATAAGTAAATATGTAGAAGGCTATGTCAAGTATGAATAATGGGCAAAATAAACGTACACTGATGTTTGAAACCAAACTATTTCTATTCAATAGGGTAGTTCTTTTTTACAATGATATAATTATATATTAGGCTATGAATAGTTTTTGTCGTATATTAATAAAAAAAAAACTTCAATGAATACGATGAATAGCTATTAGGTGTGTTAACCTTAATTTTGAGGACAGATATTATTTGAAAGTTTTTGTTTTCAAGTGACAAATTAGAATTTGAGTAAAAATAATAGCACAAACATTCGTCATTTATCATTGAAATGCCATTGTTTGTATTAGAATAGACACATGTCAGAAAATATTAATAGAATCATAAAAACATATGTTGTTCTTTTACGTATTTATTTACATTCAAATATTTAAGCTATAAAAAGTAATGCTTTGTAAACTTTTCTACGAGTGATTCAGTGCAACGTAGAAAATCTTCTTATTTATAATCAACCTAGTGAGATTTGTTTAATGAAAATCTTTTCTGCTACAACGTATTACAATTACTGAAAAAAAAATAAAATGAAATAAATCTGTGACAAGTAAATAAACTTCTTTTTCTCTACTGAAGATGGAAATTTGTTTTTTTGTTGAAATTTTTAAGTCTCAGCATAATGATCAATCATAAAATTCTGGTAATCTATTTTAAACTTTGTATAAGGACGCCCTCTATTGAGAAATAACGAGTTGATTTTAAAAAATAATTCATTAAATTCTTTATTTACATTAAATAAAACTAGATGATAAATTCATTACCTATTTAAAAATAATAAATCAATCGAAATTCAAGGTAGTTGCATAGCAACACACATTTGATAATGATGATTATATCAGGTTATCGTATACTCGCTGTTTTCTTTGATGAAATAGAATCTTCTATTTTTTGAGAGTTTATTAAATATAAATATTTGCTATTTATTTTCATATATATATTTTCTTCGTTTTTGATAAAATTTTGAAGCCTGTCAATTTTAACATCTTCATACGATATATTTTTTTACTAATGCACGGTCGATCAAATGTTCGACCTGGTAAAAAAGATTCTTTTTCATAGGTAGATTCACTAAAAAAACATTATTATTTTCTGATTTTTAAAAGTTGGCCGTCCAACAGCGACAAGCAATCGAACAACAGCTCGAGCACCTGTTAACGTAGGTTCGAGTGGTGGATCAATGGGATCATCACAACCTGTTGCACGGTATGTTTACATAATTATTTACGGATTAAACGGAAAAAACTACGCTTATATAGAGGATCAACAAATCGGTATGAAGATGAATCACCTCCAGTACAAGCTCGTAATGCTGGTAGACAGCAAAAACCAGCAGGTGGTGGTTATGGATATGGGGAATATGATCATTTATATAAGAATGCTCCTGTAAGTGTTGAAAGAATACAAAGATAATTATCGTCTGACTTTATATATATATATATATATGTAATTCAATATAGGGAGGAGGTGGACATCCACCAGCTATGTCTACATTTGTTCTATGTTATGTTTGTGGACGAAAATATGGAACACAATCAATTGAAATTCATGAACCACAATGTTTAGAAAAATGGCATATTGAAAATGCTAAATTACCTGCAAATTTACGTCGTCCTCCACCACGTAAACCTGATGTTCATATTGGCAGTAAGTTATTATTGTTATTATTTTTCTTCTAAGTCTATTTGTATCTAAAATAATGAATCGAAAAGGTGATGATAGTTATACACTTGATCAAATCAATGATGCAGCTTATGAAGCATCGAAATCTCAACTTATTCCATGTGATAATTGTGGACGTAAGTTTGCTTCTGATCGTATTCAAGTTCATCTACGAAGTTGTAAACCTGACCGTGCATCCAAACCTATTGGTGTACGTTTCTTCTTTTTTTCTATATTTAAAATGAAACACTTATGCTATTCTATACTATTTAGGTATCTGGTGGTGCTGATGGACGAATGACTGAGCGATCTGTTCAACCAAGAGGAAATCCCTCATATGGTATATATATATATATTATTATAACGATTATTATTATTTCGTGAGACACGATCTAGAAGAAATGTTGACGTATAGGAGTAAAAGTTTGCCCAGCGCCCCCTTTCAGACCATGATACAGACTAGGAATGTTTAGTTTCAGTAAACTATTCACCGATTTACCTGGCATATCTATACTGTATGGATGTGTCAATGTTTT